TTTAACACCATTCACATTTATATTGGAGTTATCCATGATAGTGAAAAGAACAAATACATCTTCTGGTACATAACTAAGGTTTTGGTTTTTTAAAGGTAAACGACTAAAACTATCTGCACTATTCTCAGATCCAGGTTTGTATTTCAATTCATAATTGTATGCAGTTAGTGTGATAGCCCATCTTTGAATTCTTGGTGAGGTATGCTCAGGTAGGGGTTTGTTTTCTCCAAATAAACCTAGCAATGGTTTATGATCTGTAAAGATGGTGAACTTTCTACCAAACAGAAACTTATGAAATTTCTTAACACCAAAAATGATGCCTAAGCCTTCCCTATCAAACTGAGAATAATTTTTCTCAGCTTGGTTCAAAGATCTACTGGCAAAAGCAATGGGTCTGTCACCCTTTTCATCTATGTGGGATAAGACTGCTCCTACACCATCTGGTGAAGCATCACATGTTAATATAAGTCTTTTCCCTGGGTCATAGTGAGTTAGTAAGGTGTCAGAAGACAAAGCTTCTTTTGCTGTATTAAAAGCAGCATCTTGTTGTTTACCCCAGTGCCAAGTTGCATTTTTCTGTAGCAGCTTATACAGTGGTGATAGTTTACCAGACAGATTCCCTATGAACTTCGCATAGTAATTTATTAAGCCCAAAAAAGCTCTTAGTTGTTGGGTATTTTCAGGTTTGGGTGCTTCTTTAATGGCTTTTGTTTTCTCTGGTTGAGGTCTGAGACCTTGCTTGCTTAAAATATAACCAAGAAAACTAATTTCTGTCAGCATGAATAGACATTTATCTTTGTTTATCTTTAAACCTTTTTCACCAACTATTTTCAAGACTTTATCAAGTGTTTTAAGATGTTCGGTGTCATTCTTACCAGTTATGTACACATTGTCAAAGTAAACACAAACATTTGGAATATCCTTAAAAATACTGTCCATGACAGCTTGGAAAATTCCAGGGCTGGATGATATACCAAAACATAGTCTTTCATATTGGTAGAGTCCTTTATGTGTGTTTATTGTCGTATAGACTTTTGAATCTGGATGCAGTTCTAGTTGAGTGTAAGCATGACTAAAGTCTAATTCAGTGAATTTGTCTCTTCCTGCCAAATTCAAAGAAATTTCCTCAATTTTAGGAATAGGGTACTTATTTAGCTCTATTTGCTTATTCAGTGTAGCTTTATAGTCTCCACAAATTCTTACAGAACCATCCTTCTTTAACACTGGCACAATGGGCGTTGCCCAATCGGAATAGTCTACCTTCTTTATGATGCCATTAGATTCCAATCTACTTAGCTCATTTTCAATTTTATCCCTCATTGCATAAGGTGGAACTCTAGCTTTGCAGTATCTTGGATTTGTGTCTTTAATGCTTATCTTCGCTGTCCTATCATTTAGTAATCCTGAACTACAAAAAACACCTTTATTTTCAGATATAACTTTATCTATTGAAGTAAAACTAGATTCTCTTGCTTTGTTTACTGAAAATATACTCTCCCAGTTTAACTTAAGATCAACTAACCAGTTCCTACCTAGTAATGGTGGTCCATTTCCTTCAACCACAAGAAGAGGAAGTTTAACACTTTGACTATTATAGCTTAAATGAACCATACACTCCTATTACCGGAACATTGTCACCTGTGTATGTTGTTAGGCACTTGTGACATGGTTGTAGAGGCACTGATCCTCCTGTGACAGCGTCAAAGTCTTTCTTTGCGATGACGGATAGAGATGCTCCAGTGCCAAGTTGGAAGATGATGCTCTTACCGTTGATATAAACTAGTACATTGATGGGAGCATGACTTGTTGATTTCACAGAGAACAGGTTGAACTCCGGCTGCGAATCAGTTTGAGGATTTTCACTGGTAGAGTGGTTCATTGGTTGGGTTAGGTAGTCTTGGTGAGAGTTAACATAGTGCTGCCTTTGGTTGCGGTACTGTCTTGACTGGCTAGATTTAGCAACAGACGAAGACTTTGCAAAGCAGGCCTTAGCAATGTGACCTTGCTTACTGCACTTATAACAAGTTGCTGACTTGAACTTGCATTGATGAGATGCATGAGGACCGTTGCATCGATGACATTTTTGATAATTATTACTAGATTTAGATCTAGGATTTGAACTTGCAGGCTGTTTAGCATAAGTTGAAATGCTCTGATGGGGTTGGTGTTTGTTGACTAACCTGCTGTCTACTGCATGGATCCCTGAGGGCGTTAGAGATTTTGCCGCCTCGGATGACTGCTGGAATGAAGTTGCTAGTTGTATTGCTTTTTCCAATATGAGATCTGACTCGAGAAGCAACTTTCTTTGAACATCAGGGCTATTTACACCTGTCACAAACTTTTCACATAGTCAGACAGCGTGTCTCCGAATTCACAAAATTCACTTAAATGACGTAAAGCAGCAACATATTCTGATATTGATTTGTTTGGTTGACGAGTCTTACCGTCAAATCTGGCTCTACACAGGAACTTTGATGGTGCGGGCGCATGGTGGTCTGTTAGCAGTTTGCTCAGCTCGTTAAAGCTCTTGGTAGCTAGACTAGCTGGTGCACATAAGTCTTTTAATAGCCTAAATTGTTGAGGCCCTATGACTGTTAACAAAACAGCTCTCTTTTTGGCTTCTATCGTCACGTCGTTAGCTTCAAGGTAAAAGCTTAACCTATCTAGATAATCATGAATGTTTTCATCATTCGAATCAAATTCTTTTATTTGACCATACAGCGCCATTATCCTAGAAATACTTAGCCAATATGCTCTAGCAAACTTCTTTTTAAGTAAGCAGGTGCTCTTTCTAGTGGATTGATCCCATCCTCGTCGCCAATTGAGGTAGATTGAAACACTGACAATAGAAACCATGCTGTTTGTATATAGAACTTTATTGGGCCTCAGCCACCATGATGGAAACAGGAACAGGAAGTACCAGACAATAATACAAGGGGCATCACTCAAAAACAACATTATAAATATAATACTAATACAAGAAGAGTGAGTTCCCTTGACTTCACAATTCTCAATATATTACAGTGTTACGTTCATTGTTTTTGGTTGCAGTCAGAGTTTCTTCCAGGCATCTCTTCGGGGGGGCGAAGCCCCCCCGAAAAATTTTTACCGCCCCCCCGAACGAAATGAAATTTATATAATTTATATAGAAAAAATATACTTTTAACAGTGTCCGCCCCCCCCGAAGAAAGTCTACCGCCCCCCCGAAAATTTCAAGTGCCCCCCCGGAGAAAAAAGTCTGGAAGAAACACTGGTTGCAGTGTGTGTATATTTTTGTTTTGTTTAGAGTAATACAATGCTTGTTTTGTCGGCCTACTTTGTGTGTTTTTTCTTACTTCTTCAGAGTGCTACTTTCAATTTATTTTACATCATAGCGAAGTAATGACATACAGCTAGTAATTATATATATATATATATATATATATATATATATATATATATATATATATATATATATATATATATATATATATATATATATATATATATATATATATATATATATATATATATATATATATATATATATATATATATATATATATTACACTTATATAGAACATGTTAAAAATTCGGCGCCTTTTTTTGCTCTTTTCGCTCCCCCTACAACGAAAACCTGGATACGCCTCTGGTATCAATATATCACTGCCGATTCTGACGTGATGTCCGGCGAAAATATTTTGCGGACAGAGAGAGAGAGAGAGAGAGAGAGAGAGAGAGAGAGAGAGAGAGAGAGAGAGAGAGAGAGAGAGAGAGAAGAGCGCACATGGCCTTTTATATATTAGGATTCTTTAAATAAATAATTTAAAATAATTTTGTTGCGGAGGTGCATTTTTTTAGTTCCGATACTGGGCCACGATATGGAATTTTTTTTCATAAAAAAAAAACGTTTTAGGGGTCATGCAAATCTATTGCAAATAAATAAACCGGGAGTGATCTCCCCTAAACTTTCTCGAATATTCTTATATAAAATTTACATGTTTTTTGATAAATCGGAAATAGCGAAAATTACTACTTCTGGTCAACGGAAATTACTCAAAATTTGAAAGAAGGCAGAGAATTAGATCTTTTACTTACATGTGAAATTTCATTTTCTATCTGAAATAGTACACAAGTTATAGGCTTTTGAAAAAATTCAAAGTAGAAAAAATTCCACTTCCGGTTATCGGAAATCGCTCAAAAGTTGATACGGATCTACGATTTTGATATAATACTTATATATGAAATTTTTATAAAGTTGATATTATTTACTTACGGTTTATTTAAATAGTAGTTTATCATTTATTTTCTACATTGTAGTGCGGAATAGTTTGATGAGACAGCCTACAATTTGGACACAAATTTCCGTGGGATGGGGCTCTTTTCCCCGATGCTTGAAAGAAGCTCTGCTCGCTCTGGCGAACTGTATAACTAGATCTAGAGTCTATGTCTTGCTATCTTATTTTAACTGTCATCGACCGCGGCCGTTAATTCTATCGTCTGCATTGACAAAATCCGAACACAAATCATACGAGTCGGGTGTGTGACTTGACCTCATACGAACAATTGGGATTCGATCAAACCCAGGATAAGAACCACTGTCCTAGTATCTAGATCTAGATCTAAAGAGCTAGATCTATCTATTCTATAGTATAACTATATACAGAGCATATTTTACTATTTAGCTCATGTGTTTGTCATTCTGCTATGTGTGTGTTTTCGGGTGTATTTGGGAGATGTTGATTTTAGAATTTACTTTCTAGACTGGATCTAGTACTAAACTAGATTTAATGATCTAGATCTAGTCTAGATATCTTCTAATTAATCTAATATCTAGATTAAGTAACTAGAATACTAGATCAGCTAGATTAGATCTAGATCTAAGTCATTCTAAGAATCTTAGACTAAGATTCTAAGACTCTAGATTCTAGATCTAGAGAAATCCTAAGTGCAGTAAGTATTAAGATTAAGAGGTAATCTATCGTTTTGGGTACGTAAAATCGCCCGCGGCTATTTATGTACGAAAACGTTACCTCATTGTCAAGGCTTTAATAGAATTATATTGTCATATGTTTGTGTCAAATATTATAGATAAATGAATAATAAACCTAAATCAATGGCTAAATATATCGATATAGGCCAGAAATTAACTTTAAACAGCAGTGTCTGAGAGCAAGATTTGCTATATAAACAGCAGCCATTTGTAAAATAGAATGGCTTCCCCCTGAATCTGGCGCTAAAAGCTTATGAAAATAAAACTTAGACAAGATGGCTGCTGTAGTAAATGAGCATTGTTGCATCTGTTGGAAACATCGCTAGTCTTCATTAATTACGGAAAAGTTTTAATTCAATTGTTTAAAAACAGGTACATAAATGAATCAAGGAAACATTTTTGAATTTTTTAAAACATAAATCCTCCTCAAAATGTGAAATAATTATTAAAATTTAAGGAGTCACCTGTTTTTCACATTACAAATCGCGGGCGATTTTACGTACCCAAAACGATAGATTACCGATTAAGATTATCATTAGGCCTAGGGCCTAACTAATTTTAATTTAATTTACTTAGTGATTAGTGGGGACATCATTCACTTGGACACATTGGACTTACACTAAATGGCTACACTTAACTTAGGCCTACTAACTAGATCTAGATCTACAAGATTTTACTAGATCTAGAAGAGACTAAATTATAATATTATATATTTTATATAGTATACTAGCGTACCCGACCCCGGCGCGTTGCCGCGGGGATAGAAGAAGGGTTTCATCCATACGTTACCAATCCTATACTCTATAGGCCTATTCTTAGACGGGTAACTTTGTTTTCTAAAAGTGAGTTATTTAAATGTAAACTATGCCTGCGCTTGGATCATAAACACCGGGACACGGGTTTACCTACACTTACCGCGTGAAAACCTTATGTGTACATTAATCACTCACCGAAATAATCAGGTAGAACACACTTCAGTTACCACCCATGTGTCAGGGATGTAGAGGGGCGCTCTCAGGAGCACCCCATCGATTACACTACCGCATAGGCGTCACGTACGGCCCCTGGCTCCTTAAACTAACTGGCGCCATTGTGCCAAATAGCATCCTGTTAGCAATGACGCAGATTGCGTCATTCGCTAAAGTGACACAAATGAACAGGATTTTTTTCTTTAACACGTAAAAAAATTATTTGACGCGTTTTGACTGATGCAATATGCTAGCGTTACTAATGGTCTATTATTAGATGCTCGATCTCAATTTCTGACTGGATTGTCTAATAAAAGATGCTTATTGCATCATTCGCAAAGTGACGAAACTCTACAGTAGGGCTCCTCATATTCAAAAAGTTATTTTTTTATCTTTCGCAAGGTGACGAAACTGTACAGAAGGATTTCCTCACGTTAAAAAGTTATTTTTAGGAGCCTGTTGTAGTTTTACCGCTGAATATAGTAGTACCCCTTACTCGCTATGCAGGACGCTCGATTAACGGATGCCAAGTGCCAACTTAGTCGCTCTAAAACTCTGGGCACCAAACCGTGTATTGACAAAAGTTGTACCCTATATGGCGCCGCCCGTAAGAAACTTTAGTTTTCTTTTTCGCAGAAATATTCTCGGGAGTATTCTCATCTACTCCCTAAAGTTTCATGGCACTCGGATGAACCGCATCCGAGTTTTATTTTTTATATACCGTGTATAGAGAAAAAAATTGCTCCCCCCAGCGGGCACCGCCCTTGCAATATTAAACAATATTTTTTTGCAGAACCCTACCATTGAGTGATCTAATCATCTCCCCAAAGTTTCATGGTACACGGATGAACGGTGTGAAACCGAAAATTTTATAAACCGTATATAGAGAAAAATCGCAGCCGCCCGTGGTGCCGCCCTTGCGAAATTAAAAATGATTTTTTACAGAACCCTTCCCTAGAGTTTTATAATGAACTCCCCAAAGTTTCATGCCTATCGGATAAACGGTGTCACTGCAATTCACGTTTTATTATTTTTATATACCGTAAATAGAGAAAAATCGGACCCTCCCGTGGCGCCGCCCTTACGAAATTAAAAATTATTTTTTTACAGAACCCCTCCCTAGAGTGGTTTAATGAACTCCCCAAAGTCTCATGGCTATCGGATGAACAGTGTGAAACCAAAATCGACTTTTATTTTTATATACCGTATATAGAAAAAAACAAATCGCGCCGTGTCGGGGCGCAACCCATGCGAAATTAAAAATGATTTTTTTTACAGAACCCTTCTTTTGAGTTTTATAATGAACTCCCCAAAGTTTCATGCCTATCGGATGAATGGTGTCACTGCAATTCAATTTTATTATTTTTATATACCATATATAGAGGAAAATCGCACCCTCCCGTGGCGCCGCCTTTGCGAAATTAAAAATAATTTATTTACATAACCCTTCCCTAGAGTTTTATAATGAACTCCCCAAAGTTTCATGCCTATCGGATGAATTGTGTCACTGCAATTCAAGTTTATTATTGTTATATACCATATATAGAGGAAAATCGCACCCTCCCGTGCGCCGCCCTTGCGAAATTAAAAATGATTTTTTTACAAAACCCTTCCCTAGAGTTTTATAATGAACTCCCCAAAGTTTCATGCCTATCGGATGAACGGTGTCACTGCAATTCAATTTTATTATTTTTATATACCATATATAGAGGAAAATCGCACCCTCCCGTGGCACCGCCCTTGCGAAATTAAAAATAATTTTTTTACAAAACCCTTCCCTAGAGTGTCTCATGACTATCAGATGAACGATGTCAAACCGAAATCGACTTTTATTTTTATATACCCTATATAGAGAAAAACAAATTGCGTCCTGCCGGGGCGCCACCCCGGCGAATTTGAAATATTTTTTTTTTCGCAGAAACCTCCCCAGGAATATTCTCAACAACTTCCCAAAGATAGATAGGCTAGTGACATTAATTAGTATTAGGCCTAGGCCTATTTAATATAAATTATAATAGGGGGCCTATTACAAGGTTTAGTATTTACTAATATTTACTGTATTTAGTTAGTCCTATTGTTGGATTGGATGATTAACATTGATTATAGTAGATACCGGTGTCCGATAATATAGACTCTTCCATAAAATAATAGGTGTGCTGGGTTGTTAGTAGTAATAGTAGTAGTATTGTAATCTCGACTAATTTTATGGTTAGAAATTACAATTAGGGTTAGGTGAAAAGTATGGTAGGACCAGGGCTGCGGGTTCGAGTTAGGGACAGGGTTAGCATTGACATTAGCCAGCCATGTGTGTAGATCTATTCTTTTTAGTAGTTAACTACCAGTAGCCTAACACCCCTTTTTTAAAGAAGATTCCATTATCGGAAACGGTAGGTATAAAAATTCCCCTGTCCTGTTTAGGCCTATAGATTTTAGTGCAAAATATAACACTTCAAAAATATTACACATTGGCAATCAAGTGGTGTTTTTTTTACTATATGCATACAGAGACACAGTCTATTTCAGCTTTAAATATTAGACTAGCCGTCCTGGCCCAGACCTGCACTGGCCTTTGTGAAGAACCTATCTGTAAAGGACAGTGGCTTGTGTGTTTAATAAACAGCATATATCCAGCATTGCCCAGGTTTAGGAAATATATATTACCTTTCCATTTAAATGTCTATATGAAAAATGGATGATTGAGAAAATCACACATAACTCTAACTCTAAACTTAACCCTTACCACAACCAAAACAAAAACCAAACAAAAACAAAAAGCACAAAATTAAACATAAACCATAACCCTCACCATAACCTCAAACATAAACAAAAACATAAACCAACCCTCACCACAACCTCAACCCACTCTTAAAATTAAGAAATGCAGGTAGTGAGTGATAAAATAAATAATAATTAGTAAACAAAGCAGCTTTGAAGGTCTTTCAAAAAATACAAAGTAAAACTTGAATTATAATAATAGCAGCATTTTAAGTTATGAAAATATCTAATTTTAATATCAGGGTCCGTAGCGGACTTTGAATCCTTGAAAAACCCTTGAATTCCAAAAAACATCTCAAGGCCTTGAAAAACCCTTGAATTTCCCCAAAAATGAGCAAAACCCCTTGAATTTTTTAGGTAAACCTTGAAAACCGTGCGTAAATCGAATTTTAAAAAAAAATTCAATTCTGGTGGATCTAAATTTTTTCTGGCTTTTTTTTTTGCCGTGGGTCTGCGTTAACTTCGGAGTCTACTATTTCCAACCCTCTCCATCGCTGAGCCTCTCGGTATGACCTCAACCTGACCAGTTTTGCATAGGTTCTTCCTAACATAGATTCTAGATCGTGACGTAAACGATAGCCGAGGGCTAAATTTAGCATCGTTTTTCGGATATCTCCATTTACGACCGAGTTACTAGATTCTACATCTAGATTCATTGTTTTCTGTTAGGGCCTACCTACTTGTACGGATTTGTCCGTAATTTTTCGATTTTGCCTTTGACACCCCTGTTGCGGAATTAGGCTGCAAATGTTACGCAAAAGCCCACAGTAAACATCAAAATCGATTTAGTGTCGACCTTTTTTTTTTCTTGTGTTAAATTTCCGTGTTATCCGGTTCATGGTTTCAAACATCTTCAATCATAACAATCGACCCCCCCCCCCCCCCAATCCCTTCCAGACAATATCTCGGCAGTCTTTGGCTCTATTTATATTGTGAACTTTATTGACCCAGCGAGTGGTCTGTTGTCTCCTGATCGGTGATGTCCGTAAAGAAAAAAATTGGAATGTGGCCTAAATCATTAAAATTCTGGTCGAGCATGGAAATTATCTTGATTATAATTAAACCTACATCTAGAACTAATATTTTTTCTTCAAGAAAATAAGCCTTAGGTTTAAATAGAAAAAGAATAGCCTGAACTATGCGAGCGTAGGTTTCTATTTATTTAAATTAAAATTTTCTATTGGTGGTAAAACACAAAAGGGCGAAACGTAGCTGCGGAATTACGGGTAAATAGCGAGATATAATTTATCGAGTTATTGTGTTCTGTTGTTTTAGATGTGCGAGAAGACACGTTTTTACGAACCTAGATCAATCACGATAGCAGATGTTTCGGTCACTGCGACCTTAGAAGGTCTTCTAGGTCTATCTCAACTTACAGTGACCTCGCAGTATATTAATAATTAATATAGTCGTGGATCTAGATTTTTAACTATTAACCAACAAGATTTCCTAATGCCAATAGGCATATTTATCACGTTCGTTAAAAAAACCAATAGCAAATGACGTAATCATCAATCTCACGTGCGCTATGGACCAAATACACATTGACTGTATCAGATGGGTGAGGCTGTAGACAGAACTTTTTGATGTCATTCTTGACGTGGCTGTCTGGTTATTTATGACGATAGAGGTTGGGGTGAAATTCGCATTAATTACGTGACGTCATCAATGGGCTACCGCTAGGCTGTGTAATTAAAAAAAAACAACTAAATCCTAACATTACCAGCTCATTAGCATCGCCGATTGTCTTCTTAAAAAAAGGAAAGATTTTGCGCCGACGTAAAAAAAAATTTGTATTTATCAAAAGAAAAGAAAAATAATAATCATTAAAAAAGTTTTAAAAAACCCAAGTTTTCTGATTGAACTAAAAAGTAGAAAATAAATGTTATACATCACAATAATGCAAGCGATCACTCTACTATAAGCGATGAAAAAAAATAAATAATTAACGCTATAAAAAAATACAACCCACAACAATAAACATACAAAATTTTACAATTCTTAACAAATACATCAAAATATTTTTAAAAAGATTTGTGTGACTTTTTTTCTGTGACTTTATTTCTGTGACTTTTTTTCCGATAAAATTTTTCCATTGTGACTTTTTTTCTGTGACTTTTTTCCTAGCAAAAACTGTGATTTTTTATCTGTGTTTTTTGTTCCTGTGACTTTTTTTCCGTTCACCTGGCCATCATGAGGGTTGAACATCAGTATTAATGTGTCTGATCACTTCCCTACTGGATTATAAGGGTCTTAAATTGTATAACATGCTACCCAGATTGGCTGAGATCTAAGAACAGCAGTGGTTATTACCCATGAATTATATTAGTCGTTGTAGTGTGGGTTTTGTAGGAGTTAAGTGGTCTCACGTTTGCTACTGTAGATAACCTATAATATATTACTGTATTTGATCAGATTCGTCTACTTAAACTCAAAAAGCAAACAGTATTACTAACAGTATTTTTATTTAGAAATTTCGGCCACATATTTATATTATCCATGAAACTGTCAATAACAGTATAAGGATCTTAATTCCTAAGTTTTTTAACGTATTTTTCTTTTTCCGCGGGTGCGATTCTTTACACACAGTGAATGCGCCCAGCGCTGGTGAACAACTGATTGTGTTTACGTCTGGTGTACACCACTGTGGCGGCGGGCGTAGGTATCACGTGATTTAGGTCACATGTTTGCAAGGACTCTATTGGGGGTTTTGTGGGAATGAGGTGCCAACTTGATCTTAATACCACATGGCCCTTAGTGCCCTGCTGTACCCCTACACAAAACTAAACCCTAAATTACTGTAGACCAACAAAACTAAAAACTCTAGGGCATAAGTAAAGTCGAGGGTATTTATTAGTAATGAAATACCACAATTTATACTTTACTTAACTTTTAGTTTTCACAGCATTCTTGCATTTTGCTGACTCAACATTTCAAGTTTCAAATTTTATCCACACTCAACATTCTGACTCTAGTTAAAATTTTAATTACCCTATAAGGCTTTATTAAAGTAATAGGCTAAATAAGTAGTTAGTTATTATAGTAAGTTAGAACTAGGTCTAAATTAGTAAATAGACTTTCACTTTGTTAACTTTTTCATATTTATAGTCCTATAGAAGTAGGCCTAATACTTAAAGTAATTCTAAACTAGGTTGATTCATACTTTATAAACTTGACTTACTTAATCTGCTTTACTTGTAGTCTTTTTACTACTATTCAAATTTGTTTAAACAAGTTTAATAAGTAGATCTAGATTTATTATTTTCTTAGGTTCCTAGTAATTCTAAACTAGGTTGATTCATACTTTATAAACTTGACTTACTTAATCTGCTTTACTTGTAGTCTTTTTACTACTATTCAAATTTGTTTAAACAAGTTTAATAAGTAGATCTAGATTTATTATTTTCTTAGGTTCCTAGTAATTCTAAACTAGGTTGATTCATGCTTTATAAACTTGACTTACTTAATCTGCTTTACTTGTAGTCTTTTTACTACTATTCAAATTTGTTTAAACTAGTTTAATGAGTAGATCTAGATTTATTATTTTCTTAGGTTTCTAGTCGGTGAATGGAAAAAAGTTTCAATGATTAAATGTAAAAAAGAGTTACAAATGTGTATTGAGAAATATTTTGGTTTACTTGTTGAGAATAATTTTAAATTTTGGGTATTTATAAATTGGGTCGTGTTTTTTTTAGTAACATTTATGAACTAAAAGCATCATGGTTTCAATAATAATCCGACTTTGATCTTCACAATAAGTTAAAGTATTTAAGATAATTTACACGGTAGCCTCAAATTTTATTTATTTATTTGAATACCTGGAAGAAAAGTTAAGCTAATTATAAGGGGGTGTCCATAAATGACGTCACACTCGTAAGGGGGAGGCGGGTTTGTAATTTTGTGAAGGTGTGTGATGACGGGGAATGGGGGTTCAGATGGTGTCACGTCACTTTTTTGCATTATAAAAAAGAAATGATAGAAAGCAAGTTTTAGCCGTTATTTTGCGTTTTAGAAAACTGTTTTAATAAATTGTAATAGGAATTGACAGAGTTCTGACAAGATTTTGGAAAAATATCGATGTTTAAAAAAAAAAATTCAATAGCAATTTTGAGGTGGGGTTGTAGGTTGAGATGTGAGGTCATTTTAGGGAGGGTCTGGCTTATTGTGACAACGTGTGATGGGGGGGGGGGGGTAAAAATCATTTTTAAAAGCCTGACGTCATTTATGGATGGCAGGTAAAAGAAATGTAGGCCCTTTGTTGTATTATGTGTATTTACTTTTTTTTGTCCATCCACATTTTGTATTGTTGACAGTGTGCTTCAATGGCAGCCTTTGTACCGTATCAGTTTTTGCATTGTCTTGATCATGTGTTTTGTGATGTAATGAGGGTGATAAATGAGGGCAGTGATTGTGGCTGAACTAAAACTATTGTTGTGATGGGTTAAAGACAATAATTCATATTAACTATATCTTCTTCCCATTTCATGCTGATTCAAAGTTTGTATTTTAAAAACATGAAGAAAACTGAGTAAATTGGAATATTCTACTTAATTTTATTCTACAAAGGAATTAAAACCTACATACTATACTTCACTCAACATTGTTTCATGCATTATCAAATAAATACATCATACACACATATATCTAAAATTTTTACATTACTATTAATTAATTGTATGTTGATTTGCTCTTTCTCAAAACATAAAAGTATTAACAAATTCAATGATAATACACATTTGTGACTTTTTTTCCTGTGACTTTTTCCTGTACAATCTCCTAGTCTAGTAGCAACAGGGTGAGACAATAAAGTTAAGTGTAACTAAGAAGGCATACTACGAGATTCTACTACCTTTTTTTTTCACAATGATCCCTAATGATTAAAGAGTTTAGGAACTAAGATTACCAAAGTAAAAGCCAACATATATGTGTAATAGTAATTTAAAATACATTTTTGATGAAAAATTTATACATTTAAGGATTTTAACACTGAACTTTTATCTCCTAGGTTGAAAGTGAAAAGAACAAATCATGAATGCAGAATCTAAAAAACCCTTCAGACATAGTGACACTGCTTCTGATTCTGTAAGTATTATATTTTATAATATTATAAAAAAAACCCACTGAAAGTGTCATTCCTATCCAAAGAATATCTGAGAAAGTTTAGGTGAGTTCATTCCCACTTTTTTAGCGTCGTATGAAGTCTCAGTTGTTGAAGTGAGTGGCTACATCAAGTTGAGGATCTACAATTTTTTTGGTACCATCATTACACATCTATTAATTTTTGTAAAATAGCCTTAATGGGGTGGGAAATTATATTACAAGTAAATTACCTTATAAAATGTACATATGTATGCCTAATTGATGTAAACTATTTTAAAAAATACATTTTATATTGGCAAAGCATGTATTTATTGATATCAGCCACTTTGGTCCTGTCCTTTAAAAGAATTGTATGTAAAATTGTAAAACCAGGAGCCTCTGGCAGATGGCGCTTATCAGCTGAATAAGGCGATTCATCTAGGAGAGAGGTCATTCTGATTTGTGGAAAAATCTTCCTATCTAGATCTGAAAATATATTCAAAACTAAACTAAAACAATTATTTAATTCATTTATTATATTCTTATTTTACCTCATTTTGTATTATAACTATGTAATATTATTTCTTTATTCCACATTTTTTAGTGATATGTTACTACTATGTCTTTACTACGCAATTGCTTTTTTAAATGCTGTTATTAGGTTGTTGTTTTGTTTGTTTATTTTAAAACAGCCAATGTGAAAAAAGGCCTCCATGCCTACTATTGTTACCGTTATTGAATAAATTGAAATTGAACCCCCACTGCCTTGTGGTAAAATGGCTTCAGGAGTAAACCCTAAGGAAATATTAGGAGTGGAGCCAGTTACGTAGCTAGGATTTTCAGGCCCGTATGCAAAAAATTTCAATTTAACAACTACATATAAGGGAAGGGTGTTAAACAATAATTTTTATATTTTGTATTTATACTTCCTGACTGTACATTTGTACTGTACTATTATCTAGTACCCTTAATGTGTTATTTTTTTATTTAATTACTTTAATGTGAAAAATATAAATGTAAGCCTGTAAAATATAGGCATCCAAACACAGTAAGGCGGAAGCGGGAGTGCGGTCTGCATCAGGTGACATGGTGCCAATAAGCAGAACATTTACTGTCAAAACAATGTCATATCCTGTTCAAAAAATAATTTATAGGAGGATTGGGGTGGCACCACAAACTGAAAATTTTGGAGGTGGGTGGGCTGACACCCTCAGTAAATGTACAGGGTGTTTAGTTTATCCTGCTCTTAAGTTTGCAAAATGATGAATAAGTTTGTAGATCCAGTTATTTTTTTAGCTGCTTCTGAATGTTTGATATTTAGAATAGCCAAGTTACTGACACAAATAGTTTTCATTACATCATCAATTACGTCATCATAACGAGAAAATAGAGATTTTAAAAAATCTATCATAGAATTCAAAATCTCCTTCCCATAGACTATGAAATACTTAAAAGGGTTTTTCTTTAGAACTAGCATACCTGCTTGCGGTGCTGCTTATCAATTCCTACACACCAGAGTGACTAAATATTTTAATAGGGTTTGATCAAAGTGTCACCAAACATATTTTTAGATGTGTAACCTTATTGTTTAAAACTGAGTTATTTAAATGTAAATAATGTTGGCGCTATATTTCTTGGATCTTTGTGTATGGAAGCTCAGACGCCACAGGGCATGCCGCTTAAAAGCCTCTAAGGTACGTTAATCACTCTCCGTAATAGTCCTAACCCTATTCCTCAATGGTTTGCCCGAGAATACCTGTAGTTTTATAAGTGCGGGTGGTACTGTGCAGCAAACTGGGTCCCATCGCACCCATCCACATCTGCATGCCACTGCTTGTGCACTATGAAAAGAATGGATCTTGTCCAGATATACCCTGCAAAAGTGCTAACCTCCTTCATCCAAAAAAGATTATATAAAAAAGAGGATATGAAACTTGCACTTTTTAAAACCCTGACCATTGCCCTGACCTTAGAGGTGGACAAGGAGTTGTTGTTTTTTTTTTGTTTGCGTTTAAATATTCAGATGTCTACCAATCAGAAAAAGGTTATGGTTGCGTACGTACATTAAATTGGAACTGGCAAAAGTAGTTGAGGCTAAACTTTTCGCCTCTAGCACATTTACATAAGTGTAGGAGGTTATCTGGACGAAATTCTAAGGACTGGGGGATCTTTTACGGATTTATAATACTTTCTGCAGCAGAAACTAAAGTTGATTTTCTTTTTTAAAAAATTTGTATTACAAACATGTTTAAATTTCAATGTAAAAATATTAATTTTTCAAAGAGGGGAAAGTGTCCCTGTGTTCCTTGGGCCACTATGCCTTGCTTATGCTAGCTTTACGGTAGCATGCCACTGTTTGGAGCCCTCTAGGTGATAGGATTACCAGCTCTGGTCTCCTTTCTGCAGCTTTTGCTGGTATACAATGTATTGCCTAGCTTTCCTTTGGACTAAACTGGCAAGGTCAAGAGAGAGGGATTATGATGCATGGGTAACCCACTATCTCTTCGTTTGATGCCCAGGTACTCACCTGGAGAGGAAGCAACACTGAAGGCAACAGTCACATGACTAGGATCTCAGTCAGAATAGAAATAATCTCACCAAACTGCTCTGGCCAATCCCAGCTCTAATAGTAATGGACAATTTAAATATACCTCCCATCCGAAGTTGACTCAGTGCACCTATTTAATGGTTCGCCCACAGAAAAGCTCCTAGAAGAGATGGTATCCCAGCAGGAATTATCTACTTTGGAAAACAGACACTGCTTAATTAAACCTCTTAAGACATCTTGATGCAAGCCAACTCCTTTGTTGCTCAAGTAATGATAACTCAGAGAAGACTTGCTGAATCCCAAAAGACATCTATACAGATCTTACCAATGGTACAAGACCCAAGGGACAACCCCTGCTGAATTACAGAAGCATCTGCAAACAAGATTTGAGGCAAACAGACTTAAACACATTTGGGACCAGCTGGCCCAAGACAGGACATTGTGAAGACAAGCTTTGTCCAGATTGGCATCCTCATCATCGCTGAAGGAAAAAGGGCTGAGGTAGCCCCTGAGAGAAGAAGAAAAAAAATCTGCTTAAATGGTACCAACAATTATGATATACAATAACAGTGACAGAACCCACTCCCGCATTGGCATGATCAGCCACAGCAGAGCCTGCACCTTAGGAAATGAGCTTAAGTATCCCCTTTCTGAAACAAACTATGACATGTGTTAAAAAATGAATTTTCACAATAGAGTAAAATGTCAGTAATACCTTATTTATAACATGCAGTTCTGGAATGCTATTAGTATTAGAATGAGGCATTTTATTTGAAGAATACACAATTCATAAGCGATCTAAAAAAATAATTAAATAACTGCCAGATTTTTATATATTTTCACCAATATTTCACCAAATTGAGGTTAACAGTTTTTTAAGCTCCAATTTGAATTGTAGAAAAGAGGTGCTGCATTATAAATAGTGCAAAACGATGTCAACCACATCACAATACAAGTGATATCACTTAATACAATGCCTATTGTTTTCCATCTCACTATTTATTCAACTACTTTACTCATTCTAGATACAGCTATTCTTAATTTCAACATCTTATGGAGTACCTCTCACATTAAATACCTAGCCCCTAACTCTCAAGCTTGCATACTATAAGAACATATTCCTATCGCCAAATGTCACTGCTTCAACTGCTTCATCAATACATGCATTAGTTATATCTCGCACCAACATTCATTTGCACCAAAATACCCTAATAAAACATTCATCATAACAGGCACATAAAAAGCTGAATTATATTTACAACATTATTTTACAAAAGAATTTTTTTTAAATTGTTACTTAGTAGTTTCTTTCCTTTATAGGATGCTAGTGATTATGATAGCCTTTCTTTGGCTAGTTCCCAAATTGAAGGAAGCAGTACAGCTGTAAACCAAAGCAAAAGTGGGAAAAAAAGAAGCAGTCGCAAGTCTAGACAAGAATGGGATGTAATTGGTGGGCTAAAAGATGGACAGAAATGTCAAGAAAAACCAGAAAAGTATGTATAGCGCCTGGTATACTTTGCTACTATGTCATTTGCTTAAAAATTAATCTCAATTTTAAGTTTGACTTTAGCAATTAAATATCTATTTTAAATTTCATTACTTATTATTTATTGATTTAACCCTCACAGTACATCATGATTTACAAGCCTTGCTGTAAGTTGTAGGTGGAATCCACCTGTATACATTATATAGAGAAAAACAATTGTGACATGATATACAAAGATGCACATTATTGATTGTGTCTGTTATGGTATTATTACAACAATACCACAATTATATCATACTAGGATGCATCAATGTCATCTATTGATGATGTCATGTACAGACAGAGAGGGGCAGGGTTTACTGACTTTTGTGACTGTACAAAAGGGTGAAGGAGGTTGAAGAAATGTAATTAAGCCGCCTTTTTGTACTTCCTAAAAATAAAGATGGCTTAACAAAATCTTAATTTTAATTACCATTTCATTTATTGATGAGTGGGCAGTAGGTGATGGAAATTTTTGACATCATCATTTCAGAGGTATAATTCGGCCTTAAGTGATTTACTTGGTTGTGGAGGTACGACACAAACCACCTAAAGTATTGTCACATGATCTTTAAAAGACAACCCCTAATGTTCACATGTTTTCTATTTAGTCCAGCTATGAGTATACAGTTTCACTTAAATCATTAGTTGGACAGTTCTATCAGATTTTTCAGGGAATGAATTTATTTGATAGTTGTATCCTTAAACTCCACTGTATTTTTGTTAAGAAAATCTGCTTTATTATCACTAAAATAAAATGCATGGGCCATCCTGCTTTTGTTCGTTTTGGCAAAAGCACCTGTATTGTAAATGCTATATAACTTTATCACTGGACATCATTTTGTTTTGATCAGGCTCTTTTGCCAAAATAAGACATTTCTGCATCACCTACCCATAAAGATCTTGATGACATGCTTATCTGGTTTGGTTTTTTATGATAGAACACCTCTCATAAAATATGTCAAGTTGCAAGCGAATGGTGATGCTACCTTTAGCAACTAAGTTCAGCTGAGAACTTCTGGACCAATTATGATATTATCGTTGTGTTCCGACTTCCCATTCATCTAAACCGGAGCGTTTATTTTTATTGAACAGCAAGCCAGTGAAATTGTTATCGGTTGTGATGTTACTATCTGAATAATTTCTCTTGATTTTTTGGTTATTTTAGCAGGCATACATAGAAGTTTAAAAGTTTATGTTCTTAAGTTTTATTTTTACTAATTCTTTATTTTGTCACAAGTGTTTTCCACCCACAACATACTTACAAGTTATGTATTTTTAACTGCCCATAACTCATATGAAAGTCTTATAAAAAATTGTGTGCACTTATAATAGACTGGGTAGACGAGGCATATACAAAGACCCAATACACCAAACCATTTAGTGTGCCTAGGGTAGACACTTAAAAATGAAAATCTGTGGGTTCCATCCATGATTTAGTTACAGTTGAATACATCTGTGTAAAATTTTAACTTTATTTAGTTTCTTTTTTATCTTTTTGCATCAGATATCATGGTTACCTGATGAAAAGACGTAAATGGCCAATGAAAGGATGGCATAAGGTTGCTATGCTTTATTTACCTTATAAAATTTTACTTGGTGTAGTGTGCGCTTGATGTAAAATAAAGTGTTTATTTTAAATTTTTTACTGCTATAAACTTAAAGAAAAATAAAAAGTGTAAATGAGAATAGCCACATTACATTATCCATGAAACTGTCTATAAAGGATGGTTACATTACTATTTTAGTATTTATCGTTCTAAAACAATAATTTGAATAAAGATATCTAAAAATAAGATAATTAAAAAGGGATTTAGTTTCTAAAAAAAACTGCATTATTTACTAATTACTTTTTGTGGTGTCAGTGTTTGTTTATGTATTACAGGATTCGTAAAGCGAACAGGTTGCGTCAGTCATTTAGTTCTATATTATATAAGAATGAAAAAAATGGTGACCCGTCAAAAGAGCGCACGACAAAAGAGCGCCGACATAAGAGCGCAGACAAAAGAGCGCCGACATAAGAGCGCTGACAAAAGAGCGCAGACAAAAGAGCGCCGACATAAGAGCGCAGTCAATTAAAGAAAACACATGTTGTACGCTAAACGAATATGACATGGTTAACATTTGTTTTAATTTAACAATCGGCGAGAAAACAACGTCTTTATTTATATATTATGGTTAATATGTTATGAATGCAGTTTGACAATATCTCTAACCCAAGTAACATGGAGAAGATCGAATCAGAGAAAGGGAAGGTAATTATTTTGGTCGAAGGCTACATATATCAAAAGGACAGAGCAAATGCTGATGTACGACATGGAGATGCTGCAAGAAAGATGGCTGACGAGGACGGATGAAAATGCTGAACGATGTTGTTCTGTCATCATCAGAACACAATCACGATCTTGATCCGGGTAACATTGAAGCAGCGAAAGTCGTTTCGGCTATACGAACACGGGCAGTGGAAGGGGTGGAAAAACCAAGGCAGATTATACAACAAGCCAGAGAAGGAATTTCGATGGAAGTAGCACCTCATTTGCCGGCCATACGTCGCTTCACAACGTGCAATAGAAAGACAGAGAAAACGCAGCTGCCATACCCAAATCCACAGAACGTTGCAGAGATAACAATTCCTGAACCTCTTCAAACGACAACCAGAAGCTTCAAAGAACAATTACGTTCAGCTGAACCGAAGATTGCAGGCGATTGCTTCAACCTATGCTAATGATTCAATGATGGACTACCTACGGGGTATAGCCCACAACTTAGCTTTATAAATGCAACTATAAAGAAACGTTTTATTAATTTGAACTTATTTTCATTTTGTTACATTTCATTTCAGTTTATATTCTCACTTTAGGCCTATCATTTAAAATCTTTGTATGTGTTATTAGATTGCGTTTTGAATAATTGTACCAGTTTTTTAGTTAAAGAAACTAAACAATTAGTTTTTGTAATGAAACAATAAAGAGTTAACACCAAACGATGCCTTCTGATCTGAGTTAATTTTCTTGTTTTTATTTATTAAATATGGTTTTTCGATTTTTAGTTTGCGCTCTTATGTCGGGAAATTAGTGCGCTCTTATGTCGGCGCTCTTATGTCGGCGCTCTTATGTCGGCGCTCTTTTGTCGTGCGCTCTTTTGACGGGGTGCCGAAAAAAATGTGTTATGTCCATTATTTAAGTCGAGTATAATAAGCAAATTTTTAGCTAATGATATTAGATTGAGGTAGAGGGGTTAATGTTATGAATGGTATTAGAGTTATGCAAGGGTACAAAAGTATGTGTGTTGTGAAAGTTTTTACATAATTAATAGATGGTGAGTTTTTGACAAAAATGTTATGTGTTAGCATAGTATAGTTGTTTCTCTGGAAGGTTAGGGCAGTCTTTGTCTTATCTTACAGTTTTAATTAACATGAAGTTCAAAGTTCAACTTAGATTTATTATCCTTCACAAAAATTATAATTTTATCTGAAAATATTGTAAAAATACTTTCCTTTATATGGTATTCAAAATTAAAATTACATTAGACAAAATTCAAGTTTATGTTTGTCGTTGAGGCTGTGGTGAAGGTTAGGGTTTATGTTTGTATTCATTTGGTTGTTTTTTACTAGTAGAAGTGCAGGGAGTGGAGAGGGTTTATATTCATGTTTTTGGTTGAGGTTTGTGTTTATGTTTGTTTTATGTTTATGTTCATGATTGAAGTACTGGTGAGGGTAAGGATTTATGTTTTTATGTTTATGTGGGTTTTTTTTAGATGTAGAAGTAAAAGGAGTGGAGAGGGTTTATATCAATGTCTATGTTCATTTGTGGTTGTAATTGGTTGTGGTTAGGGTTATGTTTAGAGTTAGGTTATGGGTGATACACATGTTCTCAATGTCATTCTTTGCATATAGACATTAATTGGAAATTTAATATATAATATTCTCAAAACCCAATCACTGCTGGGTATATGATGCTTAATATTTAATAAAGTGACAGTCCTTTACAGATAAGTTTTTCACAAAAGCCAGTTCAGAGCTTTGCTGGGACAGCTAGTACTTTATAAAGGAAACACTGTATGTCAGAATGCATTGTTATCGAGTCCTGACCTACATGAAAAATTTGAAAGAAATGTGTCATATAGAAGTGCTCAAAATTTTTCTGGTAATTTTCCGCCCATGATGGACAATAGACAGAGGAGTCAAGTATTAAAAAAACTCCTACAGGTTTAAGAGGAATTGGAGATAAAAATTACCAATTACATTAACCAGAAATCACAAAAAAATGTGACATAAACCCATGAATGATCTTACACCTATGAGTGAAATTTTGTCCACCTAACTGACATGGTTAACCAAACCCAATTATAAAGTTCCTCTTCATCATATTGGAGGTCATTAAAAATTTAAAATAATCCAAGTATAAGATCATATACTTAATCAGTGGCCTATCTAGGTTGTAACATGCACTCTTAAATAGTAATTTAAAAAATACAATATTTTCATTTAACTAATTACACATAGAAATATATTTATGACAATGACTCAAATCTGTAAAAAAGATATACATAGCTTTTAGCCATATTGCACAACTTTGAATAAATAGAAAAATAACCCATTAAACATATCACAAATCATGGATAACAAATGAATGAAAAAAGAATAGTAAGAACAGCGATACAAAGCTAAATTATTTAAGGACTATCAAATGTAAAACTATTGTTTTATTGGTGTCACACACTTACACACACACATACAAATATATACATACACTTGTTTGCTGTTGTATAATAATTTGCCTGATTGAATGATATGTAGATTTGTAAATTTTGTATGTGCTTTCACACCAATCCACTTTGGTGAACGGTCTATTTGGTGTCACCCCTCCCTAACTTTTTGTCAAATGACATCAACAAAACACTATGTTAATCCACATTGAAAAAGCATTAAGGGGCTTAACTTTAACACTTATATATTCAAGTGGAGAATCCTTGTTTTTGTAGTAAATTAATTTATTCAACTGCAATGATCATTTTTTTCTGTTTATATTTTGCTATTTTCGCCTTGGTGTCACCACCACTCAAAATGGTGTGACCCGGTGCGGTCCGCACCCCTCCCCCACCCCTCACTACACCTCAGACTTACATATGAAATTTCATCTACCAAACTGAAATGGTGTTCAAGCTACCGTGTTTGCATGGAAATAAAGTATCAATTCAGGTTTCTGGAAATCACTGAGATGTTGATAGAACCCTGCACATACAATCTAGATTTATATGTGAAATTTTGTCCACCTAACTGAATTGATACCATAACTTTAGTAATTATGGAAGAAAAGGAGTAACTTTTTAAAATTGTTTAAAATTACCTAGCATCAGTTACATTATCAATCCTATCTTAAAATTAAACAAATCTTAATTGCACACAAAAACCTGACTGATAACGTAATTAAAAAGAGAATAACAAAAATATAACTTTTATAGCCATATTAACATTTTAAGTCTACAATTTTTCAATTTGGGTATGGAATCTATCAAAAAGCAGCATGAAACCTCTATGACGTTGTATTTGTAAGAATTGCTTTTAGTGCACATTTTTTTTTCACACTGACAAACATAATTGCAAATTAATTTAATATAAACACTCTCACCTATGTACTTTCTCTTCATCTACTTAAATTGAAATTTTCATATTATGTTTAAATACTTGTTTATTGCTTCCAGTTGCTACATTATTTTATACTTAGTTTACCTCTACTTTATAATATATTTTCTTCAACAGAGGTTCTTTGTGTTGGACAAAGGAATACTAACTTATGCAAAGACAAGTGCAGATGTCAGTAGTACATTTTATTGTAATTAGTACCTTCTTCATTCTAAATTGTAATGTTGGAAGGGATTTCCTCCAAAACAATTTAAGTATTATGTGTCACCCTGTGCCATGTAATCAGTTGACTCCAAATTCAGCCTGCTTTCTTTCTGGATTTGCTTCTATAGCCTTTGTCTAACCAAGAACAAACTACCAGGCAGCGATTGTTTGATTTAATAGTTTTAATAGTTTTCTCTCCTATATGGGTTGCTATCCCTAGCTATCAAGCTTCACTTGCCCAGGGGTTCAAATTTGGTACTTCCATTCAGTTTTGCAACCTGGAGCTTACAAATTAGTAACCACTAGTGATTATTTTTTTAATGAGCAAAATGAAGAACACTTAGAGGACATTAGTTGTATTAAAAATTACATCCACATTGTCGGGCCTGAACAACTGCTGCCTTGTTTGTTTTTTGGATGGACAAATGCTATTAAGAGCAAAGAAGAATAGAGTACAATTTTTTTTTCCCTTGAACTGGAGACAAAGTCTCTAATTAGTGTAGTGTAATAAACAAAGTAAGTTTTTTTTTTTTATCATCACTTCAAAAAATGCAATTTTAGCACAAGTGATCAACATTTTATTATTTAGTATTAGTCATTAGGACTGTATAAAAAGCTTTCATTAATCACTGATCAATATATTCTGATTCTTATTTATGTTAGACCTCTCGGGTTTCAACTGAGATACTAGCCTTCCTAAATTCTTCAAAAAAATGTAACTGCTTGAGCTGCTTTTTTTAAAAAAAACTGTTGCCCAGTAGGACATTACCCCCAGTCATAGCTTACGGTTCAGCTAGGGTTAGAGCTAGGGTTTGAGTTTGGTCTAGGTCTACTGTTAGCACTAGGGTTAGGGCTAGAGTTATGGTTAGGGTTAGTGTTAGAATCAGGGTTAGGCTCAAATCAATGTCTATAGTTGGTTTTGGGTTAATTTTAGGGGAGGTGAATTCTTAGGTGTTTCAACTTTGTCTTAAGGTTAGGATTAAGGTGATATGTAGGTATAGAGTTGGAGTTAGAATCAGGATTCTATCTGGGGGGGGGGGGGGTGTTCATGTCCTGTAGCCAATAAAACATACCATTACTGACTCATAAGTATTTACACCCAGCTATAATATGTACCCATCCTGAATCAAGGTAAAGAAAATGCATCTGGGCATAGTGCTGACATCATTCCCTATTAAAATGTGATTAAGAAATGTGGATTGTCAGATCTGAAGAGGTATTTCACAGTTAAATTAAACATGGCATCTTTATTTAGATACAAAAGGGCAAGTATCATGGACTGATGGATATAGGGCTTGCAGTAATAACATTTAAAAGACAAGGACAACGAATTGATATTGATGCTGAAGAGCAAGTACATCACATTAAGGTTGGATCAATTAATCCTGGACTTTAAAATTTGTTTATGTAATCAAAACTAGCCATGTATTTCATAGCATCTAGTTTGAAGTTGTTTTTTTTTTTAATTTTATTTAATTAAGCAACAAAAATATTTTGAAAATAGTTAAAATTTATATATTTAATATAGTAATAGTTTAAATTTACCAATCATTGCTGCTGGTTTGGAGTTTAATTCATTTTTTGTTGTTGTAGGTTTATACAGTTAGAGTAGTTAACATATGGCAATATAGAGAATTAGGATCAAATGTGAAGATTGCATTAGTTTTGTTCTTTTTGTTTATTAAATTTAGTGTTTTAAATATAAGGCCAACATCCAAAAATTTAATCCACATATTTTTTTATATTCAATATTTAAATTTTGATTAAACAACAAAGTTCAACCAAGTTTTGCCATTAAAGTATACCAAAAGGTTATGTTAATATGTTTCCCTTGCATGTCCTGGAACAATTTGATTTTATATTTTGATCTGAAGTCATGATTTACGAAATTCCTTTCAACAACCAGTATACTGCAGAACCTCATGCTCAGAATAAATATATTTGCAGTTCTTTAAACAAAAGGATGTTAAAAGCTTCATGTCTGATATTATTTGCTATTTTAATTAAAAAAACAAGTGACTGTTTGCATAGGAGTAGAAGAGTCAAACTGGTTAGACCATACTGGCGAATCATGCTGTAGATTCCTCTTTCTTGGGAAGCTTAGTCTTTTACATTTTTAAGCAAAATTGCTGCCCAGGCATAGATGGTGTAGTATCCATAAAAGCCTTATCCCCACAGACATTTTTCTAATTTAATCCTTCTAAAACTTATTAATGTTTTCCATATCTTCACTTTCTTAATTACTACTGTGGTTTGTATTTTATGCTCATCTTGATATTTGTTCAGAAGTAGCTTATGTAAGAGGTTGTTACATACTAAAAATCCACTGACTATTAATATAAATTTTACAAATAAAATACTTCATGTTTATCTTGTTAATTTTAGTTGAAGGATACTGTCTTGTTTGAAGATTGGCTAAACATGTTGCGTCGTCATCGGCTATATCGACAACATGAAATAGTTTATGGAACTAAGGAGTCATCTAGACTTTCTCAGATATCACCAAAAGAGGATATTCCAATACTTACTAGTTAGTAGCAAATAATAATACTTGATTAGAATAAGAAAAAAATGCTTAATTTTAAGTTACCTCTTTATCCATTCACTATGTTAACTACAAAAATTAAATTTATTTCTCAAGGTGCAAACTTACCAGAGCTAGTGCTAAATCAGCCTCTTAAAAAAGAAATAATAAGACAACCAAGCTTCAAAGGAGCTCCAGGAAGAGTAGTAACATGGCTTGTTGATTCCTCTGGTTTTGAAGAAAGTAGCAAATGTAATTCCTGTCATGAGACTGCTTGACAAAGTCTAATAAGTAGTATTATTTAACTTCCTTAAAAGTTTGATAAAATAAAGAATCTATCTTTTGTGATGTGGGGGGAGTATCAATATATATGATATTTTATTATTCTGCATTGTCCTCCTTGAGATAAGGATGGAACATTTTCTTATTTCCATATAAAATAAACAATGTAACTTGCTCTAGAAGAATAATACTATATAAAACTTAAATCTTATTTGTCGTACCCCCAACTGTCTCTCTAGTCTTGTCTACTACATCATTGTCATCGCTATTAATGTCATGTCATAATCAGACTACACACATTCTATCAAGTAAATTAAATAACCGCACAAACTCTCAACCCATTTTGCCCATTGTTAATGCAGACTAACCCAGACATGCCTACCGTCCCCTCAAAAGCGGAATTGTTCCTCACTTTTAAAAAAAATATCGTGTCCAGTTCTGCCATCCCGTGTTCGCTGAAGTTTGTTACGTTTTTTTTCTTAAATAGTAAAGAAAAGTAAAAAGTCTAATTGGAAAAAAAGAGCATGGAAAAGCGATTATCTCCCTTTGGCACACATTTCTGTGTCCTACAATGAGGCCATTGACTCTGATTTCAGCCTGCTTTTCTTTTTGGGTTTGCTTCCATAGTCTTTGTCCAACCAAGAACAAACTACAAGGCAGCAGTTGTTTGATTTTGGAGTTGTCTCTCCTAGAAGAGTGGCTGTCCCCAGCTAACGAGCCTCATCTGCCCGAGGGTTCGAACTCGAGACTTTTCGGTTTAGCAACCATGAGCTTTTACTGACTCAACCATACTGACCCCCTAAGTATCATCTAATACTAAAAGATCTACTAAAGTACTAATATATAATGTGGACAATCTAGCTTCTGAAAGTTCTTTTTAGTATTTGCAATTGAATTGTAGATTTAAATTATGCCTTGAATAGCGTGTAGGGAGAAAAATACAATAAAATCATGACTATCACACTAATTTCTAGATCTAGATAGATCTACTAGTACTAGATACTGTTACATACAGATCTGTCTTGTAAGTTTTAACTACTACTATTATGAAGAACTTAGTAAGAAGTAACTAGGACTTTTACTAGGTAAATCTAAGTCTTAACTTTTAACTTATATTTTATATTACAAATGAAGCCTTCAGCATTAATTTTTGTTTATATAGCCTAGAACAGGGGTTCCCAACCTTTTTTTACTCTAGAGCACATTCTAAAATATCGGTAGGGTGGCGGGCACCGCCTATTTTAAATCGACAAACTCCATCCAGAGGCGTAGCTACCCTTACCGTCACCCGGGGACAAAACCTTTGATTTGCATCCCCTTCAACCTTTCAATAATGTTTATGAAAAAAATTCTGTCTCTGTCGAATAGTGAGAGGCGGGCACATACGAATCGTTCGGCGGGCGCCATGGCGCCCGCGGGCACGGGGTTGGGAACCCCTGGCCTAGAACATAGCAAGGCAGGAATAATCAAATCAATAATGTGTCAAACCTATTTGGGGGTCTCATATATATATATATATATATATATTTATATATTTATATATATATATGCATACACACACACACTTTGACTCCTGCCCTTTAATCCCTGACTTAAAACTGTGTCTATCAGAGATATCTTGCTGTCCCAGTTAGAGTTCTGTTTTTTTTTAAAAAATTGGAACTCAGAACTGTATTTCAAAAGCAATTTTTAAAAGTTGCAAGATGTAACTTATTAGAAAGTTTTTGTTTTTTACAGTATATTTTTATTTATTTTCATATAGATTTGCAAATATGTCAGGATGAAATGAATGAATTAAAAGACTTGTTGAACAAGATATCTGCAATTCCATTTTCTAAACTTCCGCAAGAGGTAATAGCTTTTTCTTAATTTATCTGCTGCTGTAACTTTCACCATGAGGATTATCCACCTATTTTAAGTTTAAAATTTCTGACCTGTGCATTTTTTCATAGCCAATTGGGTGTTGGTATATGCAGGGCTCATACAGTCTCCTTCTCTTCTTCTTCTTCGTTCTTAATTATTAGTGTTGAAGGGGATCGAGATTTATCTGCCAGTGGGTTTGAACTCGAGACTTTGTTCGAATTTATCAACTATGAGCTTTTTGCAGACTCGACCACGCCTCCATCACAATTAAGGATACGTGTCAACAGGTTTTGAGCCATTGAGGCCATTGACTCCGATTTCAGCCTGCTTTTCTTTTTGGATTTGCTTCCATAGCCTTTGTCCAACCAAGAACAAACTACAAGGCAGCAGTTGTTTAATTTTGGAGTTGTCTCTCCTAGAAGAGTGGCTGTCCCCAGCTAACGAGCCTCATCTGCCCGAGGGTTCGAACTCGAGACTTTTCGGTTTAGCAACCATGTGCTTTACCGACTCGACCACGCCGACCCCTATATACAGTCTCCTGATTTTCATGAAATTCAAAAAAATCTCCTGAAATTTGAAAAACTACAGAAATTACATCAACTGCAAAAAATTGGACACAAAATTTTTTAGTATTTTTCCCGTTGATCTACATAGATGGTGGGTGAGCGTAAGCGATATTGCATTAAAAAATCTTTTCTTTATCTAAATGAAAGTTTGGAAAAAATAATGATTTCAAACACATTCACTTACATGATTACCGCTCATTTTTTTCTTGTTAGCAGGAGAAAATCCAGATCCGAACAAGGGATAACTATGAGTTCACATTAGTTTAGATATCAGCATGCCTACACAGGGATAATATTTTTTTTTATCTGAGCCCACCTTTGGCATTGAAATCACTGTGTCAGTATTGCTTAGATAAAATAAGGACTAACATATTTTACAGGTCGTCCTTTTCTTTTTTTTTTTTTTTAGAAATGCTATATATCTATTTTTAGATTGCAACTAGTGAGCACTAACTTGCATTTATCTTAAATTCAGCAATATGATATATGATTTCTTAATGAACCTTGTTACATGTCTCATCAAGCCAGCATACTACATACATGGGCATGAAAAAATATTTTTATCAAACTCATATTATTAGTTACGAGTCATTGAATTGATTCAAAAGTAATCTATATACTACTAAAACTCAAGTTTGTTTACATGTTTGAATATTTGTTTGTTTGTCTGATTTGGTACTGTAAGGAAACTGCTCTATATGGGGGGCTGTAAAATAGTATGTAGGTAGAGAACAATTTTTGATTGCAGACAGTTAATCACACATTTATTTAAAGATGTTAATTAATTTATTGATTTATTCATAGGTGTATTAACCACATTATTTTTAAAGTTTTAGAACACTGGCTTAACTTTGACTGAATAGTGACGTTTGATGACACTGTTAATTACAAACTAATTTAAAGCCGTTAATTAATTATTGATAAATCATTGGTAGATTAACCTCATTAATTATAAAAGTTTAGAACAATGACTTTAGTAATAGTAAAAAGATTTTTTTTTTTTTACGTTTTCAATTATTTTTTCTTAAGGCCTATATGTGAATGATAAGGTTGACTATCAGGACCTCGCGGGGCACAGGGCAGGTGAAGTAGAGTTCACCTGTTTCTATGTTCTCAGCATATGAAGGGATAGTGTGGTCAGAGCCATGCTCGGCCGGAATCGTTTTTTTTTTTTTAAAAATACAAACATGTCTGAGACTTGGCGGGGCACTGGGCAGGGGAAGTAGAGTTTAGTAGAGTTTAAAAATATAAAAAACGTCTTTTTGAATGCGGGGTCTGGTTATTTTGGGATGATAAGTGCTGGCAGACATGATGTCATTTATGGATGACCCCCGAAACCCACAGTTATCTAACTAGATAACCGGTAGTCTAGTATTCCTTAAAAATGTGTTGTTGGTAAACAATGTAAACTTTTTATGGACATTTAACCTTCACATAATGACTTCTAAAATTACTTTAAGTCATGTTGCACTATTCTGAAAGTTTTAGGAACTGTTGGTTGGTTCAAGAAGAGTTGTCATTACATAACAACTGACAACTTCTTCAACTTGCTTGCTTTTCAATGACTAGGAAATGAGAACATGATTTAAAATGGATTAAAATAGTCTCAAATGGTTCATTCAAAATTTTTTTTAAATTGTGTGCAGCGTTTTTAAAATTTGAGGTTTTTGTTTGATTTAATTAAAGATAGAATGCATTTTATGTTTTTATTATTTTCATTAACTAAGCAAAATTTTTAAAAGTGAAAAACAACTTGGTTTTTTTTTTTATCACTGAATAAACATGGCATAACTAGGTCTAGTGGCTTTATAAAGTATAATTTTTTTTTTTAAATTTACCAGCAAAGTTTTGAGTAAAAAATACTGAGTGGGATTTTCAGAGGATTGATCACAGAGTTTACAAAAGTGAAATAGAAATGTAAGGCTTAAACAAAATTCTTTTTACAGTAGACGAAAACTTGAGTTTTTATCCATGTCAACAATAATGAAAGATTGGTAGAACCCATCTCATCAAACTAGTTTGTGTCCATTAACCTAGAACTTGGGATACATACTCAGCCAACACTTTCTTCCCAGAAGCAACATAAAAAATGAATGCCAGCTCCATCCATTACACTATATACACTATAGGTTCCTATTCAAACAATACCAAACCATCTAGATTTTATTTTTCTCTGTAAAAATGCATATGGACATTTTCCATTCAGTATAATATAAGGCTTGTAAACAATATCATACAATGGAGGTTAATAATACTTTTATCAGATATATCAAGACAAACATTTTATGTTTTGAACATTGGGCAAAATTAACTGTCTACAATGGATGCTGTTCATTTAATATAACTTTTAAAAATATATATTTGAAATTACTTATCATCAGGGTGTGACTACAGCTGGACTCAATCTATCGATGTCACTTCTACCATCTCCTACTGATCGACTTCATGCCAGTGCTTCTAATCCAAATTTATTAAATTACTCAAATGAAAGAAATATAACAAATCCACACGGTCAAGGATCTGTTTATTCTGCTTTACATGACTTAAGGCTACAAGAAATGAAGCTGCGGGAAAGCTTCCTTAATAAATCTGAGATAGGTATGCTTTTTATTATTTATATCAACTCAAATAATTATATTTTAACTGTCTCTTTAACATGTTATAATTATTATAATTTTAAAATTAACACTTTTTAACCTGCCAGATATGTATAATTACCACTTATTCTATTTAAAAGTCATTAAACGTACATTGCTTTATTGTGTGTTTCAAGTTTACAATGATTTAAAAGACTTGCTGAATATTATCACTTCTGAAAGAGACAAAGTAAAAAATGCTTTAGAAGAGGAGTTTGATTCTAAGAACATGGGACAAATGGCTTCTCTTAAGAGCACATTGCTAGATGTAAGTATACTTTTTCTTTTTAAGCGTAATTTACAAATGTATTGCTTTTGTTGCAATAAAATATTTTAAAGTCATATGTATTTCTTTAGATAAATTAAATATTGAATGTTGAAAGTTAAAACCTCTTAACTGTCAGGGAACCACTATATAAAAAGCAGAGTTATTGGTTCTTAAGTACATAGAAAATTAGTAAATGGGATGTGCAGTAGCTCAGGTTGACATTAAAGATGAAACTTACAAACTCCACTTCATCTGCACAATGGATTGTTAGGTCTAAAAAGGAATCTTAGTTGTAGAAGTAGTAGTTAGATGTCACTGATAATCGTATGGACCAACTAAAATAAAATACTAAGTTTCTGAAATTCTGCTACATGAAAACTAACAAACTTGAAATTCCACAATATTAGTTTTTTACATCTTCATGTAGAGAAGGTAGATGATGTCTATGAATTATGAGAACATAAGGTTTCAGATTTGTGAGTCACTTATTAAATTAAAGAATAACAATTTTTATTATGTAACAAGATGTTGAGCATAGTAAGATATTTTCAATTTAACAGCAGACTGACTACTCATTTTATTTAACTCAATATGGGAAGTGCTTACAGTTAAATACAGGCATACATTTCTACCACTTTTGATAGTTCAGGCCCTTTAAAAAAATGTAAGCTCTTTCTAATCATTTCCTTACTACCTACAGAACCCAAAATGTGACTACTGTCTCCATTAGTCATAGTATTAGTAATGTAGGCAGTTTTTTTATGGTGGTTTATGTATTTACAGAATCCTTTAAATATTGATTTTGTTTGACGATTGTTACAAAGGTAATAAATCCCCTAAAGGGCTTTATATTGAACATAATAATATGAATACATTTTCTCAATAGGAAATAAAATAAATGTCCATTTCATTTTAAAATTCCGTGAGACTTTAAGTTTCGGGGTTTTGAAAATTTAAAAATTTTTGTTTCAGGATTGGCAAAATTTTGGGATTAATTTTCAGGATTTACATAAAAAAATTAGTGGCACCCCTGCTGGTACCTTAACCCTTTGAGCCCGCCAGGCCGGTAAACCGGCTTCAACATTAGGCATATATGTCCGAAAAGCCGGTTTTCCGGCCCGATGTTCTAGCGTCATATTCCTAGTGGCCCGTATACCGTCTAATTAAATATAATTAGCGGAAGACTGACTAAACTGCACATATATCTTTTTAGTGCGTGATTATGATTCTAAAAATAAATTTTAGGAAAAGAGAAGGTGTTTACATTTCGTAGCAATGCTGCCGAAACGAAAAGCTGAGCCACAGCCATCGACTTCATCACATAAAGTTGGTGCAAAAGATGAAGCAAAAGACCGAAATATCAGCAAAAGAAGTAGAATGACTGCATCTCAGGCAATACAACTACTTATTGATTCTGATGAAGAAGATAATATTCCTGGTCTATATTATGATGATAGTGACGTTGAATTTGAGATTGAACTCAGTGACATTGAAATTGACAGTGACAATGAAACTGTTCAAGTACGTTATGATGCACGTGGTGCCAAGGACAAAGACTTGCCGAAACGAAAAAAAACAACTGTTTACTGGTGCAAAACATGCGAAGTTTTTCTTTGCATCGGGTCCGGCAGTGATAACTGTTTTGAAAGTTATCACACAAAAGTGAACTTCTGGCGATGAACTAGTATGGCCAGGTATCAATAATAACAAAACAATTACTAAATGTAAATAGGTTTCTTCTATGTTCTATCAAAACAATAATTACGTGTTCTTTTTATATACATTGTTCTGTTCATACATTGTAAACAAATAAAGAATTTCAGAATCTTTCTGCTTTGATGTTTGATCCTGAGTCTGGATACCAAATTTGGTCTGATTATCTCAAACGGTTCAAAAGTTATAGGCAAAGTTAGAAGCAGATAAGTGAAAATTGGTTTGGCCCTGGGAGCTCAGGAAATGGGAGAAATTAGGCCAGGGCTCAAAGGGTTAACTTTAATTAAACAACGTAAGCCTCATCCTAATCTTATCCCTGAACCTAACACAATCTCTGTACTTAATCCTTAATTCTCCTCTAAGTTTTATATAATAAATACACACACTTCTAATATTAGGCAGAGAGTGTTCTACCTCACTTTTACTGAGGGGGATTAAAATAAACCCATAATTTTCATATTAAAAAACGCCCTGGAGCTTCTGAGGGGTAGAATAGGTAAACACAACTCCAAAAACTAAGATCCAAAAAATGTTGTGCCGACTTAGTTCAAGAAAACAAGGTTACACATAAAAAATGATTGGTAACAGACTGATAATCTCCCATTTTTTTCATCCTAATAAAAATTTGCATCACTTTGGAAACCCTTACAAAAATATATTTCTGGTTGTATCTTGAACAGTTTTACATTTTCACTATTTTTGTATTTGGCAAAAAAAAAAACAACTTATTACAGATCCTTATAAGTTCTCATAAATGAACAAGGGGTGAATTTCACCTAAATGGAGCAGTGCAAAGGGTTCAGGGTTACTACTTGAATAAACAATGAAACTGCACCAAGGGTGCTTCTGCTGTCGTGTGAGCTGGTGCACCTTGGACTCTCCCATGAGCATAATGGCACCTACAATTGTTGTAAATAGTGACCCTATAGTAGGTATACAGTGGGCCACTATGATTGATGTCTTAATCAAACCATGGACACCCTGCGGCACCCCAGCGGTAGTGTACTGTTGGGCACCCCGAGTTCCCCTGGGGCAATCTTAGCACCTACTACAATCAATGACTAAATTGAATCCGGTGTCACACCATGACACCTTAGACCCCTGGTGGTTGCTGAGGGGTATTCTACCTCCATATTTAAAGGGGAATCCATTATAAATTATCTCAGAGACAAAATAACTCATGACAAAAGATAGCATGGACAAAATTCCTACAGTATTTAGGAAGGTATGAATTGTGTAAATTTTTAATTGAATTTTCAAATGTTGTATTTAAAATCAATTAAACTAAATTAAAAACAAATAGAAATTTAAACGTAATTGTATTTTAAATAGCATTTTATTTTAAAATGTAAAAATTTATTATCAATAAGCCTGTAATACAGCATGCCCTCAGGTAACTGGGTGCTAGTGTGGACAGACCTGCACCCTAACAACTATGAGCCAAGAAATATATTGCCTGCTTTGTTTAAATTAAAGTTTTAGAAAACAAGGTCACACAACTAAAACTACATGATTGGTGATGTTATAGACAATTTTGCATCAGTTTGGTTTGTCGGAAAAGATTGCAGCAATGTGTGATGGGTAGGCTAGTTTAATACAAAGGTATGGATACAATACAAATTAAAAAGAATTGGTAACTAGTTTTACTAATTTAATTTGTTTCTGTCTAACACAGGTGCAAAAACAGAATTCAGAACTGCGTGCAAAACTGACACGCATTCATGCAGATTCTGCATTGGTTGATATTTTATCTCCATTACCTTCCCTTCGCATAAGTCGCCCGAACGATAAGGCTAATCTTGCACAGTCTCTCTCCTTAGACAGTTTTTCGGTCTCAGAATATTATGATGCAGAAGAAAATTTTGGGACAATTAGTGACTCTTCTTCTGAGGTATAGTAATAAAATACATTTTTTCTATCTTCTGGGTTTCAAAGGATGATTGATTTTGCACCACCAAATTTACTGGTTTATTTAAAGCATAGTCATCAGTGGGCTTTGATGGGCATTTATTTAATGGGTAGATAATAAAGGAATAAAACATATTTGTTTTTACTCAAACAACAGAGCAGTGACTATGCAAGTCTATTTTTAATCACTTCAAAATTTAATAACACTTACCCAATCTCAATCTTAACTTGGTATCGTACCCATTTAAACTGACCTTAACTCTGTTATAACGTTATAACAATAAAGAATTCAACTGAAACGTATTGTAACACTAACCCAACTTAATTTATATTATGAAATCTTTCTGAAATTCTAGTCAGATGACCTAAAATAGTGATAAAAAAATAAAAATAAGTAAACAATGCAGCATTGTAGGGTTTTTTAATTTAAAAAAGTAAAACCTGATTTATATTGATAAAAACATTTTCAATTATAAAAACATCTCCAGCCTGGTCATTATTTCAGAAGGATAAAAAAAATAGGTATATACAAACATTCTGTATATTATAGATTAGATATGACTATGCTACCTTGGTGTTGAGCGTTATGCATCATATTCAAATTTAGAAGAACTAAAATGGTGGAAATGAAAGCTTGATTATATGGCCTATACAAATCTTTGAAAAATTAAAAACTAAATTTTAATCTTCATGGAATTTAGCCAGAACATGACCTTCCTTTTGTTATTGCCTTTAAGTGTTGCAAAAGCTATTCAGGGAGTTTTTGGCTTGAGATTTTAATGTGTTCATTATTATCCAGTAAGATAGATATGACTGAAAACTACATTTTTGCTCCATTAATGTGATACCATATTCAATTGTCTATGTAATAACCTAGAAAATACTTTTTAAAAAAATCAAAGCTTGTTATAAATGTCAGTCTCTCAAAACCTCTATTGTATTGCTAGAAAGTATGCTCTTTGTTATTGTTTTTGAGTTTACATAAATTGATTTATTAACTGGGCTTCCAAGCAAAAAGACAAAAAATTACCTATTGTAAGTGTTACTAGTAGGGATGTGGTTGTTGTATGGTAGAAATTTGTGCTGCTAGCCCAATCGCATTTTGGACTTGTAGCTGTATGATGTCCTTGAGTCCACCCAGCTCTGATGGGCACCTGACTTATGTTGGGGAAAGTAAAAGGTGGCTGGGCGTAGTGCTGACCACACCATCCCTTTATATGCAAGGTCAGAAAAACATGAACTCTACTACATTCTGGCCAGGTAAGAAATAATTATTTATCACAGCATTATGCCAGAAGAGCCTTTTATCTTCATACCTATGACATTGATGCATTTTACTATGAATAAAGAAAATATTTTAAAGCATTTCTAATTGTAAGATCTCTAAACTTTTAAATTATTCAGTAATGCACCCAGTAACTGGTTTTATAATTTTTTCCAAAAAGGGCACATAAAGCTGGCTCTCACTTCCTCTTAACTATGCCTCTTATAGTGATTGTGTTAAATAATCTAACATTGTAGTGATATCTGCGACCATTATGTTACTGTTGCTTTTATGTTCTCTATTTGTAGCCCACTGATGAAGAGGTGTCGAGTGAGATTTCTGAAGATGGAAATGATACTGATTGCTATGCTGGTGGACTTTCAGGTTATAGCAATAGTGTTAGGAAGTATAAGCATTTTGCGTAATTTTTACTATTTATTTATACTCTAATATACAATGCACAATACAATAGTAAACAAAACGTCTGTTTTAATACATTCAAGTAATGTGAGCAAGAAATGAGGGGAAGGAAGTTGATACACACTTATGTACACACTTGTGACAGGTACAAGGAAGATAGGGAAACCATAAATGATGAGCAGGTTGAAAGAGAGATGGGGAGGCAAATTGTATAGTTAAAGTATCATCTTTGCCCTGTATTCCTTGGTGAACTGAAACGAATAAAAAGAAAGGGTGGTCTATTAGTAATATCACACTAAGTGTCATTTAAAAAGCTATTTTTTTTTTAAATTAATTTATCAGTTATTTAGTATGTTTGTAAATTTTAGTAAAAATTAATCAGTGTGTGTGAACCCAAAAGAATTAAGTATTAAATAGTAATTACCAATGTTTTTTGTCAAAATCTACTGTTAATAATAGTTCATTATGTGGCTATATCCATTGACTCACTTGACTTAACCCTCTTTATTCCTTGTTAACCATAGGGTCTCAACCATAACCTTCCATTTTGTCTAGTCCCCGACAGTTGATATTGCAGCCTCCCAAGACATCCCTGCTGTCTTCAGTTCTTCAATATGACTCAGTCTCCTGGTCTGTCTTTCACCTTCACTTGGGGTGCCACTCTATCATGTCACATTTGAGTACCCCCTACGCATTGTGTTCCCTACCCAGCGCCACTTCCTCATTGTACTGTCCCGGGGTCTTGCCCCGTCCTTCTCCATGGGTCTATATTAGACACTGAGTCTTACCACATCAATTTCAGAATCTGTCTGAGACATTTGTTAATGAAGCTCTGTACATGATCTGTATAGGTCTTAGAGACTTGTCTCTGTTCCATATAGCCAGCATGACATTTGAATTTAGAATCCTAATTTTTATTGTGTTGGAGATGGCAAAATTTTTCCACTAGGGTCTCACAACTGTGAAAGGGTAGTGGGCTCTATTAATTCCAGCACTGTACATCCACCTTTGTTCCTCCCGATCGGCTGATCTTGCTGCCAATGTAGACAAATTCTTTTATCTCTTTAGAACTGTTTAATTGTTACTAGAAGTAACTTCACTTGCCCCATAGACCATCAGGTTTGAAAGGGAAACTTTACTTACTTTTTACTAGTCATTAGTCTTAAAGTGTTTTATTTTTGCCCTTTGAATTTTTATTGAGAAATACTTATTCTTTAATCTTTTGCTGATCTACATCCATAAAAATTAAGGTATGTTGGTTTGTTTGTCTTCTAGCATTACTACACCTTTCATCCAGTTGCCATGAAACTTTGTGACATTAATGAGAATACTCCAGGGGAAGTTTCTGCGAAAACACAGTATTTAAATTTTCCGCAGGGGTGGCGCCCTGCCGGGTGCGATCTTTATGTCATTCTAACCATCCCGGACAGGCCCTACAATGGCCTCTTTGAAAATCCTATCTGTAAAGGACTGTGACTTATGTGTTTATTAAGAAGTATATACCCAGCATTGCCCGGGTTTAGGAAATATATTTGTTTTACAATTAAATGTCTGTATGAAAATAGAGACTGTTGAGAAAATAACACATAACCCTAACTCTAAACTTAACCCTAACCACAACCAAATTTAAACACAAAGGTAACGCAAAGGCAAACACAAACAAAAGTGCAAATGTAACTCAAACATAAATGCAAACAATAACGCAAATGGAAACATAAACTTAAATATAGAGGACATTAAGAATGGCTTCTAAACTGTTATTGATCAAAAATAATAATTAGTTAACAGTACATTCAGTGTATAAAATAAAAAAAAAAGGTAATTTTTTTTTTTAAACTGTATTTTACCTACCACATTGCATTTTATCGAACCATGCTAATTAGATAATTGTTGTTTTTTCCTCAATAACAAAACAGACTAAAAGAAGTAATTTATATTTTCTGCTTAATTTTTTTGAAATGTCATCTATCAAGGGAAGTAATTGGCATAAACGGACGTTATGTGTATACTTTGTTCTCTGCACATTATGTCAATCAAAATGAAAAATTGTAAAATGAAATTTTAGTTTCAAAATGATCAATATTATTTTGTAATCATCAATTTAAAAGATTGGTAAAAATAATCATCACTTTAAAAATATTACACAATTGCGATCAGTTTGAGTTTTTTTACTATATGCAAGTCTTCCACAAACATACTGAGGCACAGAGTCCATTTGAGCTTTATATATTAGATAAAAAAAGTCATAATTGGTTTTACACAGTTCATCCGAGTGCCATGGAACTTTAGAGAGTTGATGAGAATACTTCTGGGAAGGTTTCTGCAGCGAATATGGTAGGCTACTGTAATCATTCACTAAATCAAATCTGGCGCTTCTGTCCATAACCCAGCGGTCAGATGACCTGCAGCACCCTGGGCTCTCAATGGTGACTATATTTGTTTTCATGAGCATTCAACAATATAGGGAGACATGGTGGCACACGTCATTCAATGATAAGACCGAACCATGGGACATACTCTGCACTCCTGTGGTACTGTAACAAGTGGTTGACACATTAATGATTGCTGGGGTATTTTCTAACTCACTATTATTGAGAATGATTAATGTGCATTCCCTTGTGGCTCTATGGTTCCTTTTTTCATTTTACTAGGGACACTGTCGTCTTTCCTCCCATGCCTTGGCGGTTGTATAACATGGTGCATTATTGGCTCCCAGATGAGCACCATGACTTAATTTGTAATAAAGAGTGTCATACACTATGGATATGCTGGGTTACTGAAATCAGTTGCTAAAGCAAACAAGGGGCATCCTCTGGTGCACCTGTGGTCATATGACCAGAAGCACCATGTGCTTCCCATTAACATTGTTTTAAAGAGCAAACTACATGAGGGATTTGTTGGGCTACTACATCTAATAACAAACCAAAACGGTGTAGTCCAGGGCCACTGCAGTAGTTCAACCGGTGGTTCCCACAAGAGACATTCAACACTCCTTACACCTTGGCGGTTCACAAAGGATATTTTACTTCACCCTTGCATGGTTTTTTGTGTCTAATGTGCATGCTATCACAACGATAACTTCAGTGTGGATAGAAAATTAGGTTGCACATCTAAAAATATATCAGTAACAATTGAATGTTATAATGAGTGTCATTGTTTCTTTTGTTTTGAGATCACATAAATGCGCAAGACAGGTACGCCAATATCAAATATTTTAGTAGCAAGTGCATATTAAGTATATTAGAAAAGAATCTAATACTTATCAGGTGTAGTTTCCAAAACATTAAAAGTTAATTTAATAAATTGAAACATTTTGAGACCAGGTGTCTCATGCAACTAAAGCAGTGATAAAATAATTTAAAATGGATTTATTAAACTGTACTACATCCTTATCATTTTGAAAAAAAAATATGCTTTTGAAAATTTAAAACAGTTGTTGAGACTGCAAGAGGATCTAAATGTGCCACTGGAAGAAGGAATAAACTTCCAGTTCCCAAACCAGAAAGTCCAGATGTTAGTCTTTGGAATTTACTGTACCGAAACATTGGCAAGGATTTAACTAAAATTTCTATGCCTGTCACTCTAAATGAGCCTCTAAGCATGCTTCAGGTGAGTAAATACCATTCAAAATTGTCTATTTTGGATTTGTATAGTCTTGACTTTATCCTGTTACATTTATCTAGCTAATTAAAATGAAGAAGGTAATTAACAGTACTTTAGAAGTCATGAACATTGTAACTTAAATGCATATACAGTTACAAATTTAGGCTGCACACAATAAAAAACATAGATTTTGTGACTAGCTTCTTTGAACATTTATGAGCATAATCTTAATCATAATGCATGCATCAAACCAGTTTAAGCTGTTAAAGTATGTAACATTTTACAAAATTAATGGTGTAAATTTTTATTCACAAGTACTAGATGAGTTTTAATTGGTTTTCATGAATAAAATCATCTATTAAAAGTGCTGTTTTTTATTTTTATTATTAAATGTTTATTTCAAAGTTTATATGGACAGTTTTCTTTTATATAGTTTTTAATTGTAATTTAAGAGGGGATTTCCTCCAACAGTTATAGTGCTTGTTAGTAGGTCACCAACTTCTCGTTCTCGTACTTGCCAGCTAGTATTTTTCAAACCATACAATAATTTTTAAATTAAATCGGGGGGAAAAGAAAAGCTATTTCCGCTATTGCTAAGTTATTTACAAATGGAAAAAAAAATGATAGACTACAAAATATAGCCTACGTAAAATTTGTAATTTTAAAATAAAAGAAGCTAATTGTTTGTTATTATTTATTTGAAGGAGTCCTAAATATAGTTACAATATTAATATAATATCAATAGCCTAGACCTAACGTACTTAATTTGATTCTATTATTAGTAAACTTTTTATAATTGTTGTATTTTGGGTACTCCTGGTATTTTAAATTCTTGAAGTGAGGCCTAGAAACAAAAAGCCATAAATGGGAATAGTGTTCAAAATTAATTAATTTAGTTAAAAAATGTATATCTTTCACTGGCTAATGAGAATTCAAATTTATGTGAGAGAGACTGAGACTTACAAAGCCTATAATAGTCAACATAACATGTCTGAACTCTTTTTACATTTGAAATCATATGCTCTCCTTCCTGACTCTAAAACCATTTTCAATGCATTGTAGCATTAATATGTAAAAAAAACTTTTATTTGAATTAATTAATCAGTTGGATGTGTTACCTGCAATGCACTGAAGCACACCTGTTGTACACCTCTTTCATAGAAAAAAAGGCTAACAATGCAAACATACTTCAATTCCAGAGATTATGTGAAGAACTTGAGTATAGTGAACTGCTCGATAAAGCTGCTGAATATGATGACCCTTTTGAACGAATGGTAAGTCCACTAATTCAGTTAATCAACAGCTTTTGTTTAGAGATATTTTAACTGTTAAATTATTTAAATTATGCATGCTGTTTTAAAAATAAAAACTTGTGTTTACCTCTTTTTAGATTTATGTTGCTGCATTCGCTGTAAGTGGATATGCTAGCTCATACTATCGAGAAGGTCATAAACCTTTTAATCCTTTACTCGGAGAAACGTATGAATGTATAAGGGAAGACAAAGGCTGGAAATTCATAGCAGAGCAGGTTAGCTTTCTTCAATGTGTCTATAAAGAAAATGTGGGTGTAAGACAAAAGGCCGACAAGACAAAAGGCAGACACGGACAAAAGGCCAAAAGGCTGACATGACATAAGGCCGACAGCCAAAAGGCAGACAGCCATAAGGCCGACAAACATAAAAAATATGTATATCGCAAATATGTGCTAATGCATAGAAAACCAATAAGGCGAAACGTTCAAGAGAAGAGACTATTATAGTTGCTTTCCTACAAATCTCGACATTTTACACCTCACTGATACGAAAAAACATAATTTTGCAATCTTGTCCGTATGTCTGTGTGTGTGTGTAAACACGATAACTTGAGTACAATTACAGCTAGGTTGATGAAATTTCATATATAAGTATTATATCAAAATCGTAGATCCATATCAACTTTTGAGCGATTCCCGATAACCGGAAATGGAACTTTTTCTACTTTGAATTTTTCAAAAGCCTTTAACTTGAATACTATTTCAGATAGATAAATGAAATTTCACATTTAAGTAAAATATCTAAATCTCTGCCTTCTATCAAATTTTGACTAATTTCTGTAGACCAGTGGTTCCCAACCTTTTTCTAGTGGCGACCCACTTTTATAAAAAGTAAGTGACCCGCGACCCCCATAGAATTAAAAAGCCGAAATTAGTATGGAAATTAATAAGCAATAAAATAAGATTTTCTAGTAGACTTTCAATATGAACTACTATTGATAACTGTTTTAATAGCATGAGTAAAATTGCATACTATTCACTAAACCTTCGTGGTTAAGTTTTAAGTTTTTAAAAAAAAATTGTAAACGCCAACCTATGTCATTATAATTATCTTAATTTTGTTTTTAATCGAAGAAAAGTGTTGAAAATATATTCTCGAAAAGTCAATCAATTTTACGTTTGGGTATGAATGGTGAATAGCCTACTACACCAAAATTGTGTCTGCAGTTTTTCATCTTACACGGAATCATTCTGCAAATCAAAGAATTCATCTTGTAATTCATCGGGAGTGCTGGCAACATCAAGGGAAGAAGAGAATGGGTAATGCGTCAATGCAGATTCTTCTTTTTTCAGCTCAGAGAAATAGCGATGCAGTTCGTTTTCAAGAGATTCAAGATGCCCAGAAATCGCTTCTTTCAAAATTTTAATTATCTCACAGTCAGATTCATCTACCACACCGCAGAGTTTCTCAAATTTACAATATTTCCAAGATTTGTTTTCTTTACCGATTTTGCAGCTTTGATAAAAACGCCCCGAGATTATCATGGAAAGTGATAATATTCGTTCATTTTCCCTGAAGCTTCAGGTTAAGCTTATCTTGATGTTCGAACACATCTGCTAGGTATGATACTCTCTCCAACCACTCTATGTCGTTTTAAGTATACCAAAAAGTTTTGTTTCCTTTGCACTCCCAAGAACAATTTGATTTCAGATTTCAATTCAAAAACACAATTTACATTTATTTGACAGCCAGCGTACTGTAGTGTAGTAGAGCAGAACCTCGTGATCTATATTAATGTTTTTGCTCAGTTCTTTGGAGGCTCCAGATTTTATATAATTTACGACTTATACTAGCAATGGACTCTTGATGTCAATTGGTTAGGGCAGTGGTTAGGGAGCTAAATCTTTTCTGTTTTCTGAAAGCCCGATTTTGAGCTAAACATAGATGGCGCATCATCCGTACAAACCCCCACAGCCGTTCTAACCCATTTTAATCATCCAGTTTCAAAAAAGATATTTATTTTCTCCATGCTATCTTTACAAAAGAGCACTCTTTTATCTTTGCTATCATCCGCATGAATATCGACACAGACCAGCAACTGCGAACACGAACTCACGTCTGTTGATTTATCAACTTGAAAAGCAGACAATGGTGAAAGCTTAATTTCAATAAAAATGTGTTATTTAACATTTACGTACAGGCAGCGTTTGATGAGATTTTCTCCTATTGTTTTTTTTTTTTTTTTTTTTTTTTTTGCTTGGCATTTTCTATCGCGACTTCATTTGATGCTTGCTTGCACTAATGCTGGTGAAAACTTCCTGTTCGATCAAGTCTCTGGCGTTTGCAACTAGCTTCATATATTTTTTGGTGTGTTCCGAATGACTCGTCTCAAATGACGTTTTAGTTTTGAAGATTTCATAGATTCGTGACTGAGAACAACTTTGTACAGTGCGCTTTGTTTCTTCTCTATTACATTTCCAGTGATGTTAATGAAGCCGAATTTCAAAAATTCTTCTAAATATTTATGTTTTGTTTCAAATTACTAAGGTTTAGTATACCAGTTGGCGACCCCCCAGAAAGACCTTTGCGACCCCCAGGTTGGGAACCCGTGCTGTAGACCGAAGTAGTAATTTTTGCTATTTCCTATTTCTAGAAAAAACGCATGTAAATTTATAAAGTACTTATAATATTCCACAGTATTATGCACATTTTATTTGGTGTTCACTTGGTGTGCAATTCTTTTTTTCTGCGAGATTTTATTCTATTTTAAAAAACAAGCCGACCCGCGGCGTATCGTACGTCGCTATTTAGTTGTTTTATTTTCTACTTCTCAGTAATTCATAATTTGTGAATTCGACAGTACCAACGCTGCCACTGAAAATATTTGCTTTAAAACACTATCAGTAGCTCGTTAAGGACGATAACCCCCACTTTCCAGAACCCCTACCCCACATCCCCCCCCCCCCCCCCAGTGAAAGTAAACTCCTCTTAATTACCTCCCCTAAGTTTAAAATAGTTTCAAACTAAATTATCTGCTACTAATAGCCGTCACTAAAACCAGCTCTACGATTGTAAACATTAAGCATGAACCACAGCTCACCAGACCATGTAGGGGTGGGGGTGGTAGGGAGCGCGCTTACAGCTTAGTGTTTTCTATTGTCTCCAAGAAGAGAATTATATATATAGATTTAAGTATTTAAAATGGATTCAAAATCATGCTTATATCCCGAGTTGCCATCCCCTGTTGTTTCATATAAGAAAATTCGAGAAAGTTTAGGGAATATCACTCCCGGTTTATTTTTATTAGCGTGACTTGAATTTATTTTTTAACTGGCATAACTATTAAAAGTATTTTAATCAATTAGTTTTTTCGACCCTATTTTTATGAAAATGTATCCACTTTTTCTAGGAATCTCAACGAAAATGATATTTGACATTGATCCGTTTAATGTTTCAGCATTGTGCATGTATTTAATATTTTCTTCACGTTATTCGAAAGTGTATAAACTGTGGCAACTATAAAATAAATTTAAGTCATTATATGAACAAACCCTACTCTATCACTTATAAAAAGACAATGTGATGCAATGTGATAGCACTGCATGGTGCAATGTTTACGGAATGGGACTGACACACTACCAGCAGCATTATGTTATAGATTTTCGAGAAAGTTTAGAGGAGATCACTACATTTTTTTTTCCATAATGGACCAGTTATCTAGTTTATATTTAGACCAGTTATCTAGTTTATATTTAGCTCCATTCTGCCTTGAGAGACAGTGGATGCCCACTCAATTATAAAACCCAATGGATCATGTAATAGGAAATTTTATAAGGAGCTCAAGAATGGCCCATGCATTGTGGCCTTGTAAAGCCCTTATCTCCCAGAGGATTAAGTTAATCAATGCATTGTAATCTTGCTAAATGATAATCAATCTGCCCTTTATTAGACTCTGTGGTCAGTTCCAAAATTGGAATCATCTTTTAACGTAATACACCTACCACTATTTCTTAATCTTGTTAGCTCCTTTTTAGTTTTAAAAATAGTTATCTTAAAATTAATTATTAATGACTCAATTAATGTTTGATTAAAAATTAGATTTTCTTGTGTTGTCATCTGAAATTAATTTATTAGAAATCAATATTTGTGAGTTGTAATTGAGTAACATGAGTTGACCACAAACCCTGATACAAACACACAAAGAGATATTGTAAGCAAGGTGGAAGCTTGTAAAAAGTAAAAATAAAGAAATAAGAATGCCTTATGAATGTCTTTCATCATTCTTTAATGCAATTTTTTGCAATGTGTGAGGTTTTGTTTAAAATTAATGAAGTTTTGATTTGGAATGTATTTGTTTATATTTATCTTGTTCAATTATTTCTTTTTTTCGGTTTGAGTTAAGCTTCAGGTACGTTTCCCAAATGGCCTGAGCAATAATGTTTATAATGTTTAATTTTTAAACTTTCAGGTATCTCACCATCCACCAGTGTCTGCTTGTTACTGTGAATCACGCAATTTTAAATTATGGCAAGGTGAGGTGTAAGTTAAAATCTGATGCTTACATAAAATAACATTGTTTCCATTGTAATTCTAAAATTTTACTACAGAAGAAAAAATGAATTTATAAAAATATGTATGTTTAAAAACTATTACAATAACTTTCTACAGGACTGGCACTGTTGAGTTCTATGAGATTTTAAGATTTTTGGCATCAAAGTTGAGGTGTTAGGAAATTGTTGAATCAGTCAAGGATTTGCCTTCCTTAAACTATACAATATGGCTTTGATATAGGTTTAAAAATAATTTTTAAAAGATTATAAATTTGTCGTCATCAAGTTTCTTTGTTCAGTTGCTATGCATTCTGGAGAATTTTAGGAATTTAGATAATTTGTAAAATTCATTAGTTTGGGACTGATGAAATATAATTTTTTCTTAACATGTCTGCAGTTTTTGTGATTGAGTATTTGGAGCAAATGATAAGCTTTTAAAAATAATGATTTAAAAAAAAAATTATACTTAAGCCTACACAGTCCCCCTCTGCATCTATATATATAATTCTCTTCATTGGGACCATGCGAGACACCAAGACGTAAGCTCAACAGACTATATCACTACCACCCCCACTCCCACCAGTCTGGTGAGCTGTTTACAATTGTAGTGACGGCTATTAGGGGAAGATAATTTAGTTTTTAAACTATTTGAAACTAAGGGGAGATAATAACATATTCTGCTTGCTCTTTTCATTGTCGCCTGTAAACTGTCGTCACAGATGGCTGCTTTCGCTGAGGTGGGGGGGGGGGGGGGGGGGAAGGAGTGGAAAGTGAGGGTGAGGATAATCGTCCTTCACTAGCTAGTGATAGTGTTTTAAAGCAAAATATTTTCAGTTGCAGCATTGGTAGTGTCGAATTCACAAATTATGAAATACTGAAAAATAGGAATTAAACAAAATAGCGGCGTAAGCTAAGGGGAGATAACATATTCTGCTTGCTCTTTTCATTGTCGCCTGTAAACTGTCGTCACAGATGGCTGCTTTCGCGGAGGGGGGGGGGGGGGGGAAGGAGTGAAACGTGAGGGTGAGGATAATCGTCCTTCACTAGCTAGTGATAGTGTTTTAAAGCAAAATATTTTCAGTTGCAGCATTGGTAGTGTCAACTTCACAAATTATGAAATACTGAAAAATAGGAATTAAACAAAATAGCAGCGTATGCTACGTCACGGGCCAGCTGGTATCCTTAAATAATAGAGTTGTTCTCCTGTAATAAGGGGCGTAACTGGAAAATCTGAAACAATATATTTGGCTTTTGTGATTAAATATATTTCAATTCTTGTTGTCAAAAATAGAAGTTATATTTCTAATATTTGTTTGAGAAAGATTACTCTTACATAAAAAGCCCAGGTATTCACTTCTCTCTGTATGCCTGTAGAGAAAAATATTCTGGTTATACTACATGTATGAACTAATTTTTATTTAAATACAGTAACACAAATACAAGATATATTCAAATTTAATAACAAACATTTAATCATGTAAATCAAGACTTACAAGAGCATTTGTTCAAAATGGTTGCAAATATGGCATTTGGTGTAAATGCTACAAATTTGCTGATTAAAAAATCTTATGCATTTAATGCATTATTATCCTAAGGCAAATAATCTTAAAGAAACATTTATTTGTTGTTTCTAATAGGTTCCAAAAATCAATTTCCAAGAGAATAAGCTTAATAGATTCAAGAATATATTGGAATTATTTACTTGTCATCTGGGCCAAAAATAATCAAAATCAATTTGTTAGAAAAGTATAAATTCTTTTGTTATTCTTATCCAGTTCCAACATTTAAATTTTCAATGGAGATATTCCAATTTGAGAAATGTAGAAATAAACATTTTAATTCACCCAAAAAAAATTTTGTCTGCAAAAAAAATAAAAAATAAAAAATAAATACAACTTTGATGTTTGGAAGTTCAATCTCATGCCCACTTGCGTCCACAAAACTCAACTTACTTATGACCCTACCTCTCCCAAATAGACATCGTAAATGTCCACAAAACTCAACTTACTTATGACCCTACCTCTCCCAAATAGACATCGTAAATGGATGTCCCAGAGGTGTGCACTACATTAATATGTCATGGTTGTTGGGATCTGCTAGTTAGATCAATGATAGTGTGTGAACCTACTCTGACCCTAGAATGTACCACACTATTGAAAATTGTTGTTCGCTGAAAAATTCATTGCACATGAAGATTTTATGTCTCAGATCAACCATTTTTTTATGAAGCACAGTAGAAGTTGTAAGCATTTTTTTTTTTTAAATCATTACTGTAAAATATAATTGTTTTAATTTTTTCAAGTTAAAATATTGATTAGATCTATTTTTGTTGATAGTTGACTCCATTTTTTCATTTTTAATATAATCAAAATGTGTCAATTTTATGTTTAAAAAAATACCACCATAAGTGACTGTTAATTTAAACATTATATATCATGTTTATATGACAACGTTAACTTTATATGTCAACCTACAGCATTGCTATGTCTGACGATAGACTTAAGAAAATAGGTGTTCTAGGCTGTTTGTAGTATTATAATCTTGGGTTTAGTGTTAGGGTCAGAAATTAAGATTGGAGTTGTGTTATGGTTTATGTTAGGAATAGGGTTTATGTTGACATCAGCAAATCATATTTGAATGTAATTAACTGCTAGATTTTAAGAAGATTCTTGTGGCATTATCAGACAACAATACATATACCATAAACAGGTATTTAAAAATATAAATGTGAAAAGTATTATTCTTTTAAAGATAACAATTAAAAGGGCATTATTTTAACAAAAAGATGATTTTTGCTTAAATATTTAAGGTTGGCAGACCTGTACAGTATTTAAATGTATACATTATTTCTGCTTTCCTCACTTATTAGTTGTTACGTTGTTGTTGTTTTTTTTGTTGTATGAAAATTAAAGTACTATCTACTTAAAGTTACTTTATAATTATAACTCAAACTTACAGATGTCAGGATAAAAACAAAGTTTTGGGGAAAGTCAATGGAAATACAACCTCTTGGAAATGTTAATGTAATCCTACCAAAGTAAGATGTTAAATTAAATGAATTGATTATTATTATTTTATCATTTCACATATCATCTGATGCTTAACTTGAAGGCTTTTTTTTTTTGTTTTTCTGTTAAAAGTTCTGTTAAAAAAAACATTTGTTTTCTTTATTATCCTTTTTTCTGTTTAATTATCGAGTTCTGTAAGAGAAAGTGCATTTCATTTGGTTCAAGAAACAAGAATGATTATTTTTTCCAAATTGTAGATTATTTGTTGGCTAGACTTTGAGCAGAAAAATGTTTCCATACATTAATGCTTAGCCAAAGCACAGTCATCAGAGACAGAATTCCCATATTATTATCCATCCTAGGGAACTGTCATTAGTTATTGCAGAAATTATAAGACCTAAACTCATCTTGTACATGTTTGGCACTCTTTATTGATATAATTATAATCTACCGTAGGCTTGGGCCCTTTGCTAGTTTACTGCAATAAAATATAAATATTATTTTTACTCTTGAAAAATGGGTTCATTTTTAATACCAGACTTAGGCATGATTGTTTTGTAAAAATGTACTGTTGATCGCAAGCGAAATCTTAGAATTTTATTAAACAAAAATGTCATTTACTAATTAATTTCATATATTATGTTATCTAATGATACTTCATTGAATATTTAGATATCGGGATCATTATAAATGGAACAAAGTTACTACATGTGTTCACAATTTGCTTGGTGGACAAAGGTGGGCTGATCAGTATGGAGAAATGACAATTATCAATGAAAGCATTATTTGTAAGCTGACATTTACAAAGGTTAGTCACGAGGAACGTTACCCCTACATTTAATACATTTACAATACATTGTGCCCATAAAGTTTCATTAGAAATAATTTTTAAGAGCTGTGGGCTATTTTATACTCAAATCCATTTTACAAAAGTAAAAAATTATGGCTGTGGTCCTTGTTCATTGATTGTTATAGAAATCTAAACACCTGAACTGATTGTTATCATTTTCACACACTCGAGGCTTTTCAAAAAGGAAGATTGTTGCACACTTTCTTACTAAATTTCATGTAGATTCAAACTGTTTTCAATTTTTAACTGTTCGTAGAAGCCTTATAGATGAGCTCTCAATCCTGGGATTTTAGTTTTTTATTATTTAAATATGATGTGCAGTGTTCAGAAGCACTGGTGTAACATTGCAATCATATATAGATTGTCTGTATTTATTTACCTATTCACTATTCATTTATCCTTCTGAAATTAATAAAGCAGGAGTGATCACCCCTACACTTTCTTAAATATTCTCATAAAAACATGACCAGGACTGCAACTCGGGATATTGACATGATTTTTAATCAATTTTTAATTACTTCAACTTTTAAAAACAGAATAGAATCTTGTTGAAAAAAGAATTGTGTACCAAGTGAACAGCAAACAATGTGTTTAATAGTGCGGAATATTAGTACTCTATAAATTCATTTGCGGTTTTTGAGAAATCGGAAATTAGCGTAAAGTGCTACTTCCGGTCCACGGAAATTACTTAAAATTTGACATAAAAGAATTAGATCTTTTAATTATATGTGAATTGAAAAACCAAAGGTAGAATAAATTCCACTTCCTGTTACTGGAAATCGATGAAAAGTTGATATAGTACTACACATTTCATATAACACTTATATATAAAATTTGATCAACGTAGCTTTAACGGTACTCAAGTTATCGTGTTCACAGACATACACACACACATACATACACAGACATACAGACAAAATTGCAAAACTAAGTTTTTTCGTCTCAGGGAAGTGTAAAACGTAGAGATTTGTGAAAAATCTGGATTTTGATTTTTTGCATGATTACAATACTTTCTCTATACTTTGTATAAGAGGATGTAATAAAATACTTAAAAAAAACTTTTTAAAAAACCACGTTTTTCTTGTGGACTAAAAAGTAGAAAATAACTATTTACATACATTTGATGACAAAAAACGTGGGTACGTTCACCATCAAATTTCCCGACCCATCTGCCCGACCCACGTTTTTTGTCATCAAATGTATGTAAATAGTTATTTTCTACTTTTTAGTCCACAAGAAAAACGTGGTTTTTTAAAAAGTTTTTTTTAAGTATTTTATTTTCTCCTTTTTAGTCCGTTGCTACACATGAAAAACGTGGTTTTTAAAAAAGTTTTTTATATAGTTTATTTTCTACTTTATCTAATGACTTGATTAAGTATGAATGACTAAGTGTTTATAAATACACGGACTAAAAAAATCTTGAGCGACCAGGATTCGAACCTGGGTTGTCGCGGCCACAACGCGAAGTACTAACCACTATACGATCACGGCCAGCGCGCTCACATCGATTGGGGCCGAAGTAACTGTGTCAACAAGCCTCCAGTCTTGTCGGTATCTTTAGAAATCATGTCCTCAATTTTATGGTCCTTTGGGCGTAATTAAATTAAGCTAATTACGGTCTCTAATTGCTAGTTTTTATGATTGCATCTGAAATTGTTAGGCGAAAGTAACCTGCATGCCAAATTTCAGATCTATAGAGCAATCAGAAGTGGGCTAATTTTCGATGTCAATTTTAACAACAAACACATCCACGCGAAGCTGAGTTAATAAAAACGTGTTAAAAAGGGGGCTGAAAATATTTAGAATTAGATATTTTTATGTTTTAAAATGCTACTATATTTAGTAATTGGGTTTTATTTTTAAGTGTTGTTTATTAATTGTTATTCATTTTATCACTTTTTAGGTCACAATGAATAGAATTTCTTAAAGATTTAATAAGATTCATTCAGTTGGGTTAAAGTTATGATACCTTAAAGTTGGTCCATTATTGTTATGGTATAGCTAAGGTCAGTTTAAATGGTTGTAATACTATTTTCAGATTGAGATTGGGTAAGTGTTAGAGCTATTATTAATTTGAACTGGTGTTTTTAGAGGGCAGTCTGTTATTGACATCACAGTCTTTAAAGGGGTTGAGCAATTTTGTGATAATTTCTGATCACTGGAAAAGGGCAGGAATAAGGCTGTGTTTGGCACAAGGACCAACTCCAGAATCAATGTCTGTAAATGTGGCAAGACATCAGCATTTTTATACACCTCAAATGTAATTTTTTTATGTGCCATCTTTTGCAACTGTCAGTGGTGAGCTCTTCATCTTCCTCAATAACCACCAGTTAATAGAGTTCAGAATTAAAAAGTATGTTTAATATGTCAGTTGCGTAAAATCTTTTACTATTATTATTATCCTTTAACAATGTATGCCTACATACATTTTAGGGTACAAACAATGCTTCGCCAAAACGGTACGAGGTTTACGGAAGTATCTGCAATTCTGAAGGAAAGGTTGTTCATAATCTGTTTGGAAAGTGGAATGAAGCTTTCTTTTGTGGACATGCTTCAAGTGCCAAATGTATTTGGCGACCAGGTACAACATGGACATTTTACTTTAGTCATTTTTAATAATTTACTAATAACATACTCTTTTTAGCAGTCCATTATTTTATACAAGTTATGCTAAAAATAATTAAAAGTCTTGTTGGCTGCAGTGTAAGAGTATGTCATTCTTTAATAGATAAAACTGTGAATAGTCTCATGGTTCATGAGATATTTTTGAAATCCTGTGCAGCATTATTAAAATGAATGTGTTTATAAAAACTTTATTGTGAGAATTTTATAGGATACTAGCGTACCCGTCTCCGCGCGTTGCCGGTTTCATCCATACGTTACCAATCCTATATTCTTAGACGCATGACCTTGTTTTCTAAAAGTGAGTTATTTAAATGTAAACAATGCCTGCGCTGGATCATAAATACCAGGACACAGGTTTACCTACACTACCGCTTGAAAACCTTATGTGTACATTAATCACTCACCGAAATAATCAGGTAGAACACACTTCGGTGACCACCCATGTATCAGGGACGTAGAGGGGCGCTCTCAGGACCACCCCCCCTCGATTACACTACCGCATAGGCACCACGTACGGACCCTGGCTCCTTAAAAACTAACAGGCGCCATCGTGCCAAATAGCATCCTGTTATTGCGTCGTTCGCAAAAGTGACACAAATGAACAGGATTATTTTCTTTAGCACGTAAAAAAGTATTTGATGTGTTTCCACATCAGTGTGAATGATGCAATATGTTAGCGTTACTAATAGTCTATTATTAGATGCTCGATCTCAATTTCTGATTGTCTAAAAATAGATGCTAATTGAATCATTTGCAAAGTGACGAAACTGGATTTTTTACAGACAAAAAGAAACAACCCAGTTAATAATCTAACCTTGGTTAGTTTTTCTGATTATTAAAATAAAACGTTACCGTATTACATGGGCCTCAGCGGCCCATGTGAGCCTTTGGGGACCAAAATTAAAATTTTTGTTTGCAGCCAAATCGCACCCTACCAGGGCGCCGGCGGACACGCCTTATTCAATTTAGTGAGCGTTTGTAACACCACATCCTATCCATTGTCTATCACGCTGTTTAGACCAAACGTAGTTGCCATAGCCCTCACGGTAAAGAACAGGGCGGCAAATGGCATCCTGCCGGGGGGGCCTTCCATGCAAAATTAAATCCCCCGTCCCACCACCATCCACCCACTCCCACCCTTCTCCCACCCCAGAAACCTTATCGGGTGTATTCATCAACTCCCTAAAGTTTTATGGCACTCGGATAAACTGTGTCGAACTGCAAGCGTCTTTTATTTGTATATACCGTACATATAGAAAAATAGCTCACTCCTGCGGCGCCGCCCTTGCGAAATTTAAAAAAATATTTTTGCAGAACTGTTCCAGGTAGTGTTCTAATCAACTCCCCAAAGTCTCATGCCTATGGGATGAACGGTGTCAAACCAAAATCGACTTTTATTTTTATATACCTATATAAAGAAAAAACAAATCGCGCCCTGTCAGGGCGCCACCCCTGCACATTTAAAAATGTTTTTAGCGCAGAAACTTCCCCAGGAATATTCTCAACATCTTCCCAAAGTTTCATGGCGATTGTGGGAACGGTGTCACTGCAATTCACTTTTATTATTTTTATATACCGCATAAAGAGAAAAATCGCACCCTCCCGTGGCTCCGCCCTTGCGAAATTAAAAATGATTTTTGCGCAGAAACCTCCCCAGGAATATTCTCAACATCTTCCCAAAGTTTCATTGCGATCGTGAAAACGGTGTCACTGCAATTCACTTTTATTATTTTTATATACCGTATATAGAGAAAAATCGCACCCTCCCGTGGCGCTGCCCTTGCGAAATTAAAAATGATTTTTTTTACAAAACCCTACCCTGAATTGCTCTAATCAACTCCCCAAAGTTTGACGGCGATTGGATGAACAGTGTGAATCTGCAATCGACTCTTATTTTTTATGTACCGTATATAGATAAAAAACAAATAGCGCCCTGTCGGGGCGCCACCTCTGCGAATTTGAATTTTTTTTTTCCGCAGAAACCTCCCCAGGAATATTTTTAAAAACTTCCCAAAGTTCGACGGCGATGTGATAAGAGGTGTGGTAATGCATAAAAGACACACAGACAGACACACACATACATTGCTTTTTGTATATATAGATAGATAGATAGATATATAGATATTGTGTTTTAGTATTTTTGGTAACAAACAAAATGTAAAAAAAAATGTATCACTTGATTGTCCCTGTTGTGGCTAGGGCTTCTCCATGAGCACTATGGCATTTTTTTTTCATTTTAAATAGCGCCATTCTCTAAGGCACAGTGGGCACTAAAATCAATGACTAAATAAAAAAAGCGGGGTAATCGGAGCACCCCTCTGGTAGTGTAACTTGTGGCTCACAAGATCACCCCACAATGCTCCTGACACCTCACTTTTATACAGCATGCCCTGGGTGGCTAAGCAGCAAAATGGTAGCAATTATGATTGAACCTGTCATCAAACTGTGTTGCCTCCATTGATTATGTATCTGTATTTGGCTAATTTAGCTATGGTTATTTTACAAATAACACCTATCTAATGGTGTCTGGTCAAAAACCCACTGGACAAAAAAAACTGCGCTATAAATCCCCTGGACAAAAACCCCCCAATGGTGGTTTATATATGGAAAAACCAAAGATGATGAGAACCAAAATTAGTAATTAAAAACAAAACAAACATTAGAAAAAAACAGTGTTTTATTTATATGACTTTAAAAAGAGAGATTGTGAGCAATGCCTCGCAAATAGCCTTTAATGGTGGGCTCTATAAAACTTTTAACAACAGTTGAAAATTGAGTGCTGCTAACAATTTTTATTTTTTCTGTTTTGGTAAACAGTGTCCTGAATTTATCTGTGTACAATAAATATCTTTAAGCAATTGTTCCTTTTCAATAAATTCAATGAATTTCCAAATATTTGTGTGGCAACATCCCATATTTGAGTGTAAACTTCTGTGCTAGCCTTCAACTGAGTTGTTTGTTTTTGGCATGTTGTCTTCTGCACGTGTGTGCATGTTCCTCATACCAAGTGGAAACATAGGTTGTCTCCGACCTCGACGTGGTCTGCCAATATAGTAGTCCTCAAAATAGTCTGCAATCTGCATTGCTTCTTGGGGGAAAATTTCAGATAATTTATCAAAGGCATTACCAATGTGTTTGCAGGTAGCATTCTGGGCTTGAGAGCAAATTCACTATCAAGTTGGTAATGTTGTTGAAGACCAGACCTGTATTTTTCTCAATATATTTTGGTTAAGATGGAAAAAGCATCCTTTTATCTCACAGTCTGAAAATACCCTTTCAACACTTTTTATCACAGCCATTTCAAAGTCAATCATAATAATAGAAATCAGTTGCAGGTTTGTGTTCAAGAACATTAGTTGCTGTAAGAGTGCTGTGTATGTTTCCTGTGTTTTGTTTTGAAGTAAAGCATAAACACATGGACCAGTCCTTCCATTGACCAATCTATGTATTGATCAGCAATAATTATATCAGCAACATTCCTTGGGTCAGACAGGGGATGTTTTGACATTGACGCCTGGCATTACGGCCTGATATTACTGGGGTCAGCTTTACTTTCGCATCTCCACTAATCGTAGTAATCGACTGAGTGATGATTTGCTGGAGTGTTGCTTCAGTTTCTTCTGCCAGTTGTTTACTCTGCTGCACTACTTTACACACTTCTAGTTGAGATGGATCTGATCCATGCGAATGTTCATGACAATGCCCAACAAGCCATTAATCTTAGCTTTGCATTCTGCCTTGTTCCGTCTTTTTGCATAAACATAGGCTTGAAAAATCACCTTTAAATTGCCTTTATTAGATTGAGCTAATTCCATTCCAAAAATTTTGATGATTAGTGGAGAAATAAATTTGATGCCATATTTATACTATGCTTCTGTGTGCCAAGTTGGATATGAAACAAGCTTCCACCGGTGATTCTCTCACATCTTATGTATTGTTTAAGATGTGTTGCTTGGATCAGCATGGCTTCCACATGTGGATGACCTATATCTAATGTGTTGTTGGAACCCGATCTTTGATCAAATACAACCATGGTCAATCCTTGACTTTCGAATAGCATACTTTTAGGTAGAAACTCTTTTGTTAGTTGTTAAAAATTACATTAATTTAATTTATTTTATTTTTGTTCTCATCATCGTTATTATTTCCTTATATACACCTCAGTGGGGGGGGGGGGGTATTTTCTAGGGGATTTATGTCACAGGGGGGGGGGTTAAGTTCAGGGTTTTTTGACCGGGAGCCCTATCTAGTTGGGTTTGTCATTAACATCATGTCCTACTTTGTAATTTAGTAATATTCCTACTGCTGATTTATTTGCAAGTGTTGATCAATAAAGTTTTTATTGATCAACATTCAAATTTAAACCATTCTACTTGAAGAAATTGAAGTGATGCTCTTTCATGGCAACTCCTATCAGGAGAAGGAGCAGCTAAACCTATGCCTGAATGTTTCAAACCCATAGAACCAGAAATCTAGTTGTGAATTTAGATAGGTTTTTTTTTTAAGATAAAAGGAAGATATTTCTAGATGCACTTATGGCAATGTGTGGCAGTTAGAATCAATAGATTGCCTTTGTGACAAAGTGCTATTGAATAAGGATCAGATGAATTAGTGACTGCTCAATGAAAACAAAGAAGCAGAGTTGTAATATGAGCTGACAATATTTTTTATCTAATTTCATTTGCATCAGCAGAATAGAAAGATAAAAAAAAAAGCAAAGAGTACCATTTTTTGTCTTGGAAGGTGAAGATTTATTGTTTTATCTTTTACCACCCTACATGCTTCATATCAGATCCCAGAAATTTTACAAGATTTTCTTCCATTTGATAGATCTTGCTGTTAACTTCTGGCCTGTACCAGAGATCAGATATAAGGTTGTTTTAAGCTTCAATTTCTCTTTTAACTATTCCAGGATTAACTGTTATTTCTCATTTTTTAACTTTTGTAAAGTTTTGTTATTCTATTCTGAAACTAAAAACTATATTGTATAATTTTTCTACATTATAAATAATTCAAGATGGGTTTTTGAGTTATAAGTATCAAATTTGTGTTAATTAATGTTTGTTATAAATTAATTTAATTAAAATATGCAATACTTGACTAAGTAATTTATTTAGTAAAATCCTAATTTGCTTTTACTAGTTCCCTCCCATTTGATTATAGTTGTTTCAAATGTGTTATTTTACTTCACAACAATTGATAGAATATACCCAAAATACATTCCAGTGATTATCACAATCACTTTTCCTTTTTTAGCAAAAAATTATAACTTTTTCAAACTTATAAAAAAAACATTTATATTTTGTTAACTAATAAAGGTGATCTTGAAAAAATATTTCAATTGCAATACTAAGTTGTTTTTTCTTTATTAGAAGGCTTAATTTTGTCTAATTACCTCACATAATACAGTGATTTACCTACCTTTTTCCTGTAATTTGTTGTTTTTATTTGCAAATCATGAGTTTCATATAAAACAAGCATTTTTATAGATAAATGGAAACTAGCAGCTTTTCAGGCCATTGTTTTTTTTAAATTTGACTACTATTATATGAACACAAGTTAATATTTTTTAGAAGACCTGTAGAAAAAATGAAATTCTACATTTATTTGATTAAAAATTTAAGTTCATTTTTAATATGTACAGCAGTACCTGGAGATATGAGTTAAATTCGATTTGTAACCCTGTTTGTATGTCAAATGGCTTGTTTCTCAAAATAATTATCTCCACTGAAATTAATTGAAATGCCATTAAAAAAAGCCTATGAATACATGACAAATAATAATATTTTAATATTATAATAGAGGGTAATGCAAATAAATAAACTGGTTTTTCAAAGTATATTTACATTGAAAATAGGTGGTTTTGATCTTATATAAGATGCTGGTAGATGTGAAGGGCAGAAGAGAAATGCGGAGGCGCTTCACTTTGTTCACTTACTCACTGTTAATGCTAAGCTCTTTCTGTCACTTTAATTTACTTACTCATTACATTCGTAATGCTACACTTTATCCCATTACTTAATGGAATTTAAACTTCACCGAACATAACTAAACCTAAAGCTTAATTTTCGTCTCTGCTTTTCTCTTTACTGGACTTTGCTTTTTCTGCCCAGCTTTCATCACTTTCCCTACTTTTCCATGCAAGTGCAAGCAGTTAAAATAAATCTGTACAAAGAGGGTTTTCCCCCTTTCAGAATTTTTCAGAAATGAGATGGGTAAGTGTCTTTAAATAGTTCTGATGCGCAATCCGCTGCAACTTTTTCAGGGTGTTTCTTTTCCACAAACTGTTAAACCCACCATCCAGTTACTTGTATCTCAAATTTGTGCTCATATGTCAAAGCAAATTTTAGCTAGCTTAACAGCTTGAATCTCAAATATAAATATACATTTAGAATAGTTATGAATAATGTTATGACAATTTTTTTCTTGTTCCCATTTTTTTTCTCAAGTTGGTTTAGGTTAGCCTAAGGGTTTTAGGTTTTGAATATTGACTAAAAATTATATATGCTTTGTTTTCTGACAACAAATGCTAATACTCTTTTTCTAGTTTTTTGTTTACTTCAAAAAGTTATTTTTAAAATCTAATCGTCTTGAGCATCTCTCTTACACAAATTAAACCATTGATTTCAGGAAGAAAAGTACACATTTTCTTTTTTGTCATTTAGGAGCAATGCCAGAAAACTATGAACTTTACTATGGATTTACAAGATTTGCAATAGAATTAAATGAATTAGATCCAGAAATGGCCAAATTTCTGCCTCCAACTGATTCACGCTTTAGGCCAGATCAAAGGTGAGGGGTCATCCATGTGTAACGTCCACACCGAGATGGGGGGGGGGATGTTTACATGTTGAATTTAACATGGAAGTACTTACATTTTTAAACAAACATAAAATACATATCCTGCTTGTAAAAAGTGAAATTAAGAAGACTTATCCCCTCCCTCCCTAATGACACTAATCTTTACTAAAAATCAGGACCCAACACCAAAAATGATATCACTGTATTTGTAAATGAAAAAACAATATTTTTTTTCTAAAATTGAGTAGGTCTAGAATTATTTTTATTGAAATTTAAAAAAAAAATTAACTACATGGCTTATATTTGATTGCTAACACAGTGTGACGTCATTTATGGATGAACACTAAGAAAAATAGCGCCTCTTTGGAGCAATTAGGAAACAGAAATAGAACTCATGAACCCCAGGAGGCCTCTTATAGTCTATAGGCCAAAATGCTAATATTAATCATTGAAATGCATTCAATAAGTACAGGGGGGGGGGTCTAAAATCCAAATTTTTTTGTGGACGTCATAAATGAATGATTTCTAAGTGCGTTTAAATTTGTGGACAGGGAAAGGATTGTTTAGAATTGTTTAAATAAAGGAATATTATCCATATAGTTATTTTAAAATTGCCTATTTTCAGACTACTGGAAGAAGGTAAAATTACCGAAGCTGAGGCTGAGAAACACAAATTGGAGAATGCTCAGCGTGAACGTAGAAAGAGTCGTGAAAATAATGGTGATGACCCAAGACCTCTGTGGTTCAAGTAAGATTTCAAATGTTATATGAGGATGTTTATTTTTTTTTTATTCTTAGAAATATTTTAGCTGTTAGAAATTTTTACGCTTAACAGTTTTTTAAAGTAAAAGGTTATTTTACAAATTTCAGAAAAGTACTTTTGGATGGTAAAAATGAGACGTATGAATACACTAACAAGTACTGGGATGCCAGAAAAGATCCTGGATTTAGCAGAATGTCTTTTGCACAGTTGTTTTGAACTTCTCTTGCTCATCAATAGCTTGCTGAAATACTATGGAATGTTTTTGTCACCAATAGATTATTTTAAGTAGATATAACACTGAACTACAGTTTGTATACAAGTATGCAATTAATTTTATTTTAATAGCATGTTATATAAATTTTTAATAATTAACATTAATAGACTTATAGACGTACTCAACTTTTTTTTATATTTGTGTTTTATTGAGAATGGGACAATAACTATGTACATTTATCTCTGTATCCAAGAAGCCACACAATATTTCTTTTATATATTTGTAAAAGAAAAAAAAATTATACTTCATAATAATTAACTCTTAATAATAATCTTTAATTTTAAAGGTACTTTTGAGTTAAAATTTGATTTGACATTGGTGGAAAATAAAATTTAAATAATAGACCTATATATTTAATAATGTTTTAAAATTTGTTAAGTGTTTCTTTAAGTGACATTTTAACGGAAGAGTATAATATTTTGGAAAATATTTCATAAGATTTTTTTAAATTGTGTTAAGTGCCTTAGAGTATGATTTTTCCCCCTTCAAATTGTAGGCCTACTTATTTTTAGAACCACATAAGTGGCTGTTTGCCTGATTTCCCGAAGATTGTCTATTTACATTATGCCAGATTAATTTTAGGTAATTATTATTGATGATTGTTTATATTTAACCCTTCTCAATAGTTTGAGTGACTAAGCCCCTATGGGAAACACAAATTTATAAAGATGCATGTAGCAAATTAGGGATAAGTTACAGGAAAAACTCAAGAACAGCTTAAATCTTTGTCCTATTTATCAGTAAGGTTAATTAGAAGCTTCCACCACAAATTTGTGCACTTAAAACTAAGTCAATATTTAAAGGAGCACTTCTAATGTATTTTCTCTATCTTAATTTGAGTTGAAAGATAAATTCAATTTCTTTTTTTCTTCATCAATCAATTTGTTTTCAGTCTAAATTACTGAACCATCATTACACGTCACAACCTAAGGAGAAATATGTGCTTTGATATTCAGGTTACATCAGTTCCATGAAATACTCCTTCATGTGTTCACTTAGCAAGCTTATGAAGTATATAAAATGTGATTAAAGGGCATTTTTGCTTGCAAAAGTGTTAGAATGATTTATTTCTGTCATGATCACTGCTATTTTCCATGTAAATTTACAATAAACTGCTTTAACAGTTACAAAACTTAAAAATGTAATTTTAGCACAGTGCATTAATTTGTAATGTTAAGAGCTTCATTGTTTACCTCTTAAATACATATACATTTTTATGTAGATTTAATTATGTATTTTATTCACTAGATATATATATATATATATATATATATATATATATATATATATATATATATATATATATATATATATATATATATATATATAAAATTATCAGTGGTGTGCTGTGAGATTTCACATATGGAATCAGCTAAGGGATCGAAGTGGTTGGCCCAGTCTGCTTGGCTATTTCTTGATAGAATTTTTATAATTTTGAAGTACCAAACCAGCTTATTGAAAAGCACTGCTACTGCTCTCATTTTGCTGACAAAGCCATTTGACTAAGGAAAAAAATACTTTCACATTGACATTTTGAACTTGCAACTGAAAGGATGAATTTCATGCCATCCACTTGTTCACAGTGTCACATTTTGATCTGTCTATTGTTAGTAT